TTCTGGATTGAAATATAATTATTATTTCAAGATCAAAACAGCAATCATTTAAGAAAACAAGAAACAAATTTATCAAATATAAGTAAAATTTCATGGAAATGCATCCATGCATTAATGAGATAGACGGGGCTGTTTTCAACATATTACCCATTGATAGAATAAAGGCAGCATATACTCTGTTCTTATTTTTTATTTTGATGAAGGTACCACGAAACCTTATCCACAAAAATAATTTCTTATGAGGTATATACCCTAAATCACGTATTTAAGACGAAAATGTTAGTTAACAACTTAAGTTCTTCAATTTTGTTGACGTTTGGGAACTGTTGGCTTGCAGAGGATTTGTTTCTTTGCAGCCCTGGAGGTACGCACACTTGGGGGCCACTGCTTCCGTGAAAGGTCCAAGAAGGGTGAGCCGGAAGCTTTCTATGTGATGCGCATTGAGAGAAGTGCAGTTGTGGGAGAAGCAGAGAGCAGAGAGCTATAGGTTTGTTATTCAGTAGTCAGCGTAGGTGAAGAGTGGATAAGGAAGCTCAGGTTCTCTGGAAGTTGACGGTTTTAAAATGATCTGTGCTCGTGTTCCCTATGGAGAACTGTCGCATGTGCCAGCAGAAGACTGTTACATTAGACCACAACAAGCAGGGTGTTCCAGTGTCCTGGAACCCAAGAGGCAGGAGAGTTTCAGGAAGGAAGGAGTAAGTAAAGGACAGGTCAGCATATGTCTAAAAATATTCTTTTGCTTTCAGTTTCAGGAGGTCATTGCTGACTTTAGTGAGTGGTGACCTCTTGTAATAACCATGAAACAAGCGATGGGCGATTAAGTCAGAGTCCAGTGAGTTGAGTGAATGGAAAAGAGTAACTGGTGAAAAAGTATAAATCATCCTTTCAAGTAGTAGTAACCTTCTCATATAAAATTTTTGTGTTAGCCTTTCGGATCTCTCTTTAGTTCCTAGGCTAGTCTTTATTAGTCATGATTCTAAGAATTAATTTGTGTGTGAACTTTTTTATTGTGGGAAAATATATGTAACATAAATTTGCCATTTTACCCATTTTTAAATGTTCCAGTTTAGTGGCATTAAGTGCATCCATGTTGTGCAACCATCACCACTATTTCCAGAACTTTTTCATTACCCCAGAGAGAAACTCTGTTCTGATTAGGCAGTAATTCCCCGCCCCCCTCAGTCCCTGGTAACTTCTAATCTACTTTCTTTTTCAATGAATTATTTCATAAATGGAGTCATACAATAATTGTCCTTTTGTGTCTGGGTTATTTCACTTAGCATAATGTTTTTAAGGTTTATCCATATTGTAGCATGTGTCAGAACTTTATTCCTTTTTGTGGCAGAATAATTGTCCACTGGATGATGTATATACCACATTTTGTTTATCCCTTTGTTGGTGGACAAGGGTTGTTTCCTTTCATCTACTGTGAATAATGCTGCTTCGAATTTTGTTGTACAAGTGTCTGAGTCCATTTTCAGTACCTTTGTTCAGAGTCCCTGTTTTCAGTACTTTTTGATATATACCTCATACGTCCAGGTGGAATTGCTGTGTCGTACGGTAATTCTATGTATAGCTTTTTGAAGAACTGTAAAGTTTTGTGGCTGTATAGTTTTACATTCCCAGTGGCAGTGCATGAGGTTCCAATTTTTCCACATCTTTGTAAACACTTGTAATCCCCCCCCTTTCTTAAAACAAGTTAAGCCTCTTTACTGGGTATTAAATGGTACCTCATTGTGGTTTTGATTTGTGTTCCCATAATGATGAATGATGTTGACCATCTTTTCATGAGTTTGTTGGCCATTTGCATTTGTATATCTTTGGAGAAATGTCTATCAAATCCTTTGCCCATTTTTCTTTTCTTTCTTTTTTTTTTTTTTTTGAGGGGTTGTCCTTTTATTGTTCAGTTGTGGGAAGGAGTTCTATATATTCTGGATATAAAAAGCTTTTCAAGGGGCACCTGGGTGGCTCAGTCAGTTAAGCATCTGCCTTCAGCTTAGGTCATGATCCTGGGGTCCTGGGATGAAACCCTGAGTTAGGCTCCCTGCTCAGTGGGGAGTCTCCCTCTCCCTCTGTTCCTCCCCCTGCTTGTGCGCTCTCTCTCTCAAATAAATGAATAAAATCTTTAAAAAAAGCTTATCAAATACATGATTTGCAAATAACTTCTCCCATTTTCTAGGTTTTCTTTTCACTGTCTAGATAGTGTCCTTTGATGTACTAAAGTTTGAAATTTTGATGAACTCCAATTTATCTGTGTTTTTTTTTCTTTTGTTTCCTGGACTTTTGGTTTGATATCTAGGAATTCATTGCAAAATCCAAGGTCAGGAAGATTTCTCTCTGTTGTTTTTTTCGAGGAGTTTTAGAGTTTTTGGTCTTACCTTTGAAATCTGTAATCTATTTTGAGTTAATTTTTGCAGGTGGTCTGTCATAAGGGTCCATCCTCTTTCTTCTGCATGAGGATATGTAGTTTCCCCAGCACCATAGGTTGAAGAGATGGTTCTTTCCCCCATTGAATAGTCTTGGCACACTTGTTAAAAGTCAACTAATGATAGATGTGAGAGTTTATTTTTTGGCTTTCAATTCTATTGCCTTGGTCTGTATATCTACCCTTATGTCAGTACCACACTCTTGATTACTGTAGCTTTGTAGTAAGTTGTGAAATTGCAAAGTAGGAGTTCTTCTAACTTTATTTCTTTTCCAGGATTGTTTTGGCTCTTGGGGGTCCTTTGAGATTCCATATGAATTTTATGGTGGGGTTTTCTTTTTCTCAAAAAAACACCCCAGGGATTTTGATAGAGATTGCATTGAATATGTAGATAGCTTTGTGTAGTGTTGTCATCTTAACAATACTAAGGTTTTTAGTACATGAGTGTGAGATGTCTTAGTATTAATTTCAGTTTTCCTTAATTCAGCAACGTTTTGTGGTTTTCAGTGTATAAGTTTTGGGCCTTCTTGGTCAAATTTTTTCCTAACTTTTGTTCTTGTGGATGCTATTTTAAATGGAATTGTTTTCTTTCTTTCTTTCTTTTTTTTTTTTTAAGATTTTATTTATTTATTTGCCAGAGAGAGACACAGCGAGAAAGGGAACACAAGCAGGGGGAGTGGGAGAGGGAGAAACAGGCTTCCCATGGTGCCGGGCCCCATCCCAGGACCCTGGGATCACGATCTGAGCTGAAGGCAGATGCTTAACCACGACTGAGCCACCCAGGCATCCCTGGAATTGTTTTCTTAATTTCATTTTCAGATTGTTCATTGCTGGTATATAGAAATACAACTGAATTTTGCACATTGAATTTATATCCTGTAGTTTTGCTTTATTCATTTATGAGCTCTAACTTTTTTTTTGGTGGATTCTTGATATTTTTCTACATATGAGATCATGTCATCTTAATAGAAATACTTTATGTCTTCCTTTCAGATTTGGAGGCCTTTTATTTCTTTTTCTTGCTGAATGTTCTGACAAGAACTCCCAATACTATATTGAATACAAGTGGCAAAAGCAGGTGGCGCCTGGGTGGCTTAGTTGTTAAGCATCTGCCTTCGGCTCGGGTCATGATCCCGGGGTCCTGGGATTGAGCCCCGCATCGGGCTCCCTGCTCAGCGGGAAGCCTGCTTCTCCCTCTCCCACTCCCCCTGCTTGTGTTCCCTCTCTCACTGTCTCTCTCTCTGGCAAATAAATAAATAAAATCTTAAAAAAAAAAAAAAGTGGCCAAAGCAGCCATCCTTGTCTTCTTCCTAAGGCTTTCTACTGCACTATATTTTGTGACATCATTGTGAATTTTGAGAAGATAGTGGGATTTATGTCTTGAATGAGATTTCAGATTTTTTAAAAATATTTATTTGAGAGAGAGAGAGCACAAGCGGGGGTCGGCAGAGGGAGAAGGGGAAACTGACTCCCTGCTGAGCAGGGATCCTGATGCTGAGCTTGATACCAGGATTGTGGGATCATGACCTGAGCTGAAGGCCCACGCTTAACTGACTCAGCCAACCAGGCACTTGCGGATTTTTGAAATATAATAATTTTATAGACCTCAGGGTTTATTTCATCATCTCTTCTAAAAAGGAAACCTAGTGGTGGGGTGCCTGGGTGGCTCAGTCAGTTGGGCACCTGACTCTAGATTTCGTCCCAGGTCATGGTCTTAGGGTTGTGAGATTGAGTCCCACATTGGGCTCCATGCTGGGTGTGGAGCCTGCTTGGGATTCTCTCTCCCACTCTCTCTGCCCACCCTCCCTCTGTCCTCTTCTCTTAAAAAAAAAAAAAAAAAAAAAGAAAAAAACAAATAGGAAACCCAGTGATAATCCTTTTCATTGAGAAATGTTTTGTGAAACATTTGTTTAAAGCTTGGCCACAAAGTAAAATGGTGCTTTTGTAAATACTTTGGTAGGAAAGGGAAAGTGAAATTAATACCCACACACGGTACTCATGTAAAGGAATCAGAGACAGATTCCTGACTTTTAAGATGCTTATGTACTTGCAGAAACTAGGCAGAATGCATATTTTGGGGGTCAAAATTTCAAAGCAATGTTACATTTCCACTCAAGAGACTCATCTTTAAGTCTTAGTACCTCACAACTCAAGTCATTTATGTTTCCATGTACAGTTGCTGGGAGATTTGTTTTTTCCTCCTTGTTTTTATTATTGGTTAAAAATGGTGGCTCTTCTAGTCTAGATCGTACTAAATTCAATTATTACGGCATAGGTTTAAAAATAATGTTTTAGGGATATTCCTCAGCATCTCTAAATTTTCTGCAAATTGAAATCTTTTGTTATGTCTTTCACTTTACTACTGCCACTCCCATCTCCCCTGAAGAAACTTTTTTTTATTAGAAGTTTAACAGCAGTTTATGTACATTCTTATTCTGGGGGGGAGGGGGGAGGAGGTTCACTTTAGTATTAAGCATAATTTTCTCATTTATTTCAAAGTCCAACCAGGGATGTTAGCAGGAAGTTGTATATCATTTTACAATTTTCAAGTGTTTCTTTTCTTTTTATGTGTTAGGCCTCAAGAAAGGAGAACTGGATATGAACAGTTTCACCCAGGGCCATCCCCCGTGGATCATGATTCCCTGGAATCCAAGCGACCACGTCTGGAGCAGGTTTCTGATCCCCATTTCCCGCGCGTCAGCGCCGCGGTTTTACCTGTCGTGCACACGCTGCCAGAAGGGTTGAGGTCTTCTGCAGACGCTAAGAAGGTAAATATTTGTGCTCTTCCCCTGCGGAGTCGTCGGTCGGTCTGTAATGTTTATTTAGCCATATCCAGGCACGGCGCCTAAAAGAAAGTCCGATTATGCCAGTCTCTACAGGTTAGTGCTATGGGAAAGTAAAAATTTTGTTAAACAAAACTGAAAACCACATGTAGTGCTCCAGACTTTTAAAGTCAGTACTTTTGACTTTTTGGTAAATGAAAACAATCTGAGGACTGCTGTAAAGAAAAATTGCTATTGAATAACTCTCAAGCCTTTTGTACCGGCTCGCTGGGCTGTAAAATGTGGTCAGTTGTTCTCAAGACAACCACAGTTTTGTTCGATTTAAATTAAATTTAAAATAATCCCCTTAAATTCAGTTGCAATTACCATGCTTAAACTTTTTATAAAGAAAATAAATTTTTTTCTAATTTATGTAAAAAATAGTTTCTTTAGAAAATTTGAAAATACAGAGGAAAAACATTATCTGTAGTTTTTTAAATTTAAATTTTAGTTAACATAAGGTGCAATATTGGTTTCTGCAGTAGAATTTACTGATTCATCACTTACATGCAACACTCAGTGCTCATCACAAGTGCCTTCCTTAATCCCCATCACCCCTCTAGCCCATCCCCCGCCCACCTTCCTTATCGGCCCTCAGTTTGTTCCCTATCCTTAAGAGTTCCCTACTGCTTGTTTCCCTCTCTCCTTTTTTTCTTTTCCCCCTTCCCATATGTTCATCTGTTTTCTTTCTTAGATTCCACATAGGAGTACAATCATATGGTATTTGTCTTTCTCTGACTGACTTATTTCACTTAGCATAATGCTGTCTAGCTCCATCCACATTGTTGAAAATGGCAAGATTTCATTTTTTTTGATGGCTGAGTAATATTCCATTGTATATACATGCCACATTTTTTTTGAGATTTTTTTAAAAAAAATTTATTCATTAGAGAGACAGCACCAGCCAGAGCAGAGCAGGGGGGAGGGTCAGAGGGAGAGGGAGGAGCAGACCCTCTGCTGAGCAGAGAGTCTGACTCGGGACTCGATCCCAGGACCCCAGGATCATGACCAGAGCCCAAGGCAGACGTTTAACTGACTGAGCCACTGAGGCACCCTGTGCCACATCTTCTTTATCCATTCATCAGTTGATGCACATTTGGTTTCTCTCCATAGTTTGACCTATAATTCTGTTATGTTAGAGAGAACTACTTTTATTATGTAACTGTATTTTGTGACGTTTCAAACAGCATATATTGTGAATTTATGAGGAGGTTCTACTAAGATCAAACCTCTTCTTGTGTTTGTTACTTGCCTTTTGTGAAATGCATGTTTGTGCATTATGCCCTTATTTTGTTACTGAGTTTATCTTTTTTTTTAACTGTGTATTTTGCTTATCATTAAATCTTCAGATTCGGAAGTTCCTGGCACTTAGTAGGTACTAAATAAATATTTGTTTTAGAAATAATAAACTAATTCTTTGATGCTCTTTTAACAGTATAGTGTTAACCCTTTTGCTATCCCTGCCCCCCCCTTTTGTTAGCAAATCTTTCTCCCGTAATGTTTATTTACCTTCATGGCTAATGGCCCTTTTCAACCTGAGATCAGATAAACAAGTACCCACACATTTTCTTTGAGTTTTTATGCAGTGAAAAGTGATTTAAAAGATAATGAATATGGGGGCACCTGAGTGGCTCAGTTGGTTGAGCATCCAACTCTTGACTTTGGCTCAGATCATGATCTCACAGTTGTGAGATCAAGCTCCAAATTGGGCTCCACACTGACTGTGGAGCCTGCTGAAGGATTCTCTCTTTCCCTCTCCCTCTGCCCCCCTCCCTCTCTCTAAAAATAAATAAAGATGGTGAACATGGGGGTGCTTGGATGGCTCAGTTTTTTAAGTGTTGGACTCTTGATCTTAGCTCAGGTCTTGATCTCAGGGTTGGGAGTTCATGCTTCACATTGGGCTCTACAACTGGATGTGGAGCCTACCTAAAAAAAAAAAAAAAAGATAGTAAATATGTCTTCAGTTTATTTCCAAATAGTTCTGCCAAAAAAAAAAAAAAGTTTGATGTGTGCATATGGAGAGAATGCAAAAATAGCAAAATGTTAACCAGTGAAGGATAAAGGATAAATGCTTTTCCATTATACTGTTCTTTCAACTTTTACATAAATTTGAAAATTTGCAAAATAATAGGTTAGGTGGAGAAAAACTCTTTTGTGATCAGCTAGAAATAAGCTCAATTTCTGGGATTTTTGAGGCCTTGCCTTACTATGTGAAATGTATGTATTATAGTCTGTGGGTTTATAAGAAATGTTTTGTACCATTAAAAAAAAAAAGAAAAGATACAGTGAATAAAAGTCTTCTTCCATGGCTGAATAAATTACTACAGATGTTATTTATAGCTGTAGGATTTTTTTTTTTTTTTTTTTTTTTTTTAGCAGAAAGGGATCTTAAAGTCCCATTCATTAAAATGTGACATGTTGGATCATAGTACATCCTATTTCCATTTGATAGTAGAGAAAACAGATGTTAAGAAAAATTAAGTGCTGTAGGTGATGCCTGCTGAGTTGGAATGAAAACCCACGATTCCTGCCTCCTGGTCCTACTTTTCTTCCCCACTAAGTTGTAAACCATGACTTTTTTTTTTTTTTTTTTTTTAAAGAAATAGGGATTTTGAAATAGGGATTTAGCGTTTGTGGGTTTTTTTTTTTTTAATGTTGTTAAGCCCAAGTGTATCTTTTATAGAAGTAGATAAGCCTGAAGGAGAAAGTAATTTACAGCCTCACCAGTTAGAGGTAGTTGTTAACTTTCTGATACTTTGTTCTATCTTCCAGTGGGTATCTTAATGTGCTCACTTTGTACATTGTATGTAACTATTTTTGCTTAAGTATGTCATGAGCTTCTTTTTGTGTCAGTTAAGTTTGCAACTGTATTTTTTGGGGTTACTTAGTATTCTATCTACGGATATAAAGTAATTTGTCATACATGTAGGTTAACTGTTTGTTCATTAGAGCAATGACATATGTTCTTCAGGCTGATGTTTTTGGTGTTCATTCTTATTTCTTTCCTTAAGGTAATTCTTATTAGTAGAATCAATTTCAGATCAGTCGACATATTTTGCAGACTTTCATGGTTGTTTCCAGATTGCCCTGCCAGAGTAGGACCAATTTGTATTCCTGACAGCAGAGCATAGGGTGCCCAATTCTTGTGGAGCCTTGCTGATGCCGCGTAGTTGTTGCTTAAAAAAATAATTGTTAACTTGATAAATTTTTAACTGTGTTTATTTGATTTACAGTAAAATTTACATTTTTCATTTGTTTATTGGTTATTTTTTCTGTTTTGTGAATTGTTTTTTCATATCTTCATTTTTCTGGTGGTATGTTTTTGATTTTATATTGATTTGTAGAGTTCACATTTTGGAAATGATTTTTCTCATTTGCCTTTTAAATTTCTTATTACTGTCTTGGTAAATAGAAGATTGTGTTTATTTTATTTTATTTTATTTTGAAGATTGTGTTTATTTTAATCCATCAGTCTCTCTCTCTTTTTTTATATATCTTTTGCTGTTGGCTTTTCTGAGCCCAAGATAACATGAATACCCTTTTTTGTTTGAGGCTCCCTGAGATTTGCTAATAATTCTCATGTGAATGTTTGCTCTTATTTGGCTTTTATTGTGATAATAAGATATGAGGTAGGAATCTAACTCTTTTTCCAAAATAGCTATCAGTATGTTCCAACACAAGAGTATAAACTCTGTGAGGGTGAGCATCATGTCTGTTTTGTTCAACCTTCTACTTAGTGCCTGTCACATAGTAGGCACTCAAGGAATTGTTTTTTTGTTAAATATTTCACTAGAACAGAAGTCAGTGGAAAATACTGCTTTGTAATAGGAGTTCTTAGGGCGTGCATCAGATCACCTGAGGAGAATTTCCAAAATCTGCAGAATCGAAATATAATGTTTTGCTATTATACGTGTTCTGTGACACAATTGGACTCATATGCATATGGTAGGAGAATGTTTTAATATAACATGGAAGTCTTGGTGGTTCATAAGTGATTTTTTTTTCTGCACGTTAATGTTTCAAAGCTCTCAGGATCAAGTGGTCTCATAATTAAAAGAAGTAGCCTTCATGATGTCCGAAGACCTTAAGAAGATTTGAAAATTAGTGCATTCAAGAACTGCTCTGCTTTTCACTGTTAAGCTAACTAGTGGAGATTCAAGTGTCAAAAAGAAACCGTAAAGATACTACCTCCTGTGTTTTTTGTTTTTAAAGTTGATCAAGATGGTTATACCCTGAATTGGATTTTTTGTTTTGATGAAACATACTGTTTTCTATTGGAAGCAAATGACCTCAAGGATTTATACCTTAACAACAGAAGCAGTGTAAAGCTAGCAAAGGTTGACTGTAGGCTGATTGCAAATGATACTGGAGCTTCAATTACATTATTACCTCTATTAGAATAGTTACTGTTTTTGTTAGTGCTCTGCTGACAAAGTTGTACAGGTTTTAAGTAATAGCCATAATCCCATTTTCCCCAGAAGTCTTATATTTAGCATATACTATTACAGAGTCTGAGATTTTTCAGGAATACACATATTTTAGCTGAAATCTCTGTTCCAAGGTGTTCTGGAACAACTATATCCAGGTATAGTTATGTGCATTCTTGGTTAGAATTACTGATTTCTCAGTTGCTTAATCATTATTTAATACATTTGGAGCTCGATAGTCCTATGAACTGTGCTCATCCTAGGCTTCTTATAGCCTGAAGAAAATTAGTACCTTAATCTAAAATTCATGTGCTTTACAGTATTGGTTATAGCTTCACCTTAGACTGGAATTTAATAGACTGTGTGTATGTGTGTTGACAGGGTGGTAGATTTTGGGTGGAGGGGTTTTCCTTCTGCTGTAGTTCTCTGCTGATTTGGAGGTGGAATGGGTGACATATTTGGCTTAAGAGATCTTATGTGCACTGTAACGTGGGCAGGCTTAGTTGCCCTTTATAAGGGTAGGCCTAGGTGTTAGTAGCAATAAAATTCCTAGGTCATTTCTGTATCTGATTATTGGCCCTTGGAAAGTCTGAAAAGTTTTTGTTAGAACTCTTGGCCATATCATAGCTGCTAAGTTGGGTGGGCACGCAGATTTTACATGGAGTTTGTAGTTTTCCCAGCCTATAAGTTCAGACCTTTTGAAGAACCATTGTAAGGAAATGGTTAAGAAATTGGTATCTTCCTTTGTCATGATTGCATTATTATTTCCCCAGATACTCTCTACAGTCTCACTGTTGTTACACTAAAGGCTGTTTGGCCTCTTAGCCACCTCCTTCTACATAGCTTTTAGGATATTCAAAATAGTGAATGATACGTCTACGCTATGAAAGTCGTATAGATGTCAATAGGGTGTGTTGTATGTGTGCGTGTATGAAAATTGCTACTTTCGGACACCGGATAGAGAAATAGCATACATGGCTCTGCTGTGTTTTAAAATGGACTTTTTCAGTTAAGAGAATCTTCACACTAATATTGGCTATTAGTCAGGAATAAATTATTGATTTTCTCCTCTAAAGGATCCAGCATTTGGAGGCAAACATGAAGCTCCATCCTCTCCAATCTCTGGGCAGCCATGTGGAGATGATCAAAATGCTTCACCTTCAAAACTTTCAAAGGAAGAGTTAATACAGAGTATGGATCGTGTAGATCGAGAAATTGCAAAAGTAGAACAGCAGATCCTTAAACTGAAAAAGAAACAAGTAAGTGTTTGATTTTACTGGTCTTTTATTGATATTCTAAGAATATATGTTTGTCTTTCTAAAGAAGATAATGTTGAGTTTTCCATATTTTTCAACTTTATGTACATGGAATCATGTCTTGTATATCCTTTGACTTACCTTTTTTTTTTTTTTTTTTTTTGCTATTAGTTTCCTTAGTTGCATCTACTCATTTCCCCTGCTACGTTGTCTGATTATAAATAGCAAATCTTGTTTGTCCATTCTGTTTTTGATCTTACTGGATGGGTTGTTCCTGGTTTGTTGCTATTTCATACAGTGGTGCTGTGTTTTTGGTTCACGTGTAAACCGATTTTCTAGGGCACGCGCACAGGAATGGCATTGCTTGGCTCGAGAGTATGCGCGTCTTTGAGTAAATTAAATGATACCAGACTTGCTAAAATGGCAGTTCAGCTCTACATTCCCACCGCAGCCTTACAAGTTCATTTGTACATAAGCTTGTCTTCACCTGATCATTTGTTTCAACTGGATGTGAAATAAATAGCTCTCACTGAAGTTTTACGTGACATTTCCTTTTTTAGGAGTGAGAGCTTATTTTCGTTTGTTTATGGGTTATTGGTGTTCCTTACGTGGTTTGTTACTCTGTCATGTTCTTATTTTTAGTATTTCCTAAAGTCTCTTGTCAGTTATGTGTATGGCAGCTATCTCATTTGTGGCTTGTCATTTTGCTTTCTGGGGATGGGAGGAGGGGGGATTTTTTTTAATTTTTTTTGATGTTGAAATAAATTCACATACATAATGTTCATCCTTTTAAAGTATATACAATTGTAGTGGCTTTTAACATATTCGTAAAGTTGTGCCACTATCACCACTATATAATTCCAGAACATTTTAATCACTTCAAAAAGAAACCAAAAAATAAAAAAGAGAAACCACATATCTGTTAGCAGTTACTCTCTAGTCCCCCTCTCCCTGGCCCCTGCCAACCACTAATCTATTCTGTGTCTATATAGATTTTTATCTGGATATTTCAGGTAAATAGAATAATATAATATGTGACTTTTTGTGTCTTCTTTCATTTAGCATGTTTTCAAGATTCACCCATGTTATATTTTGTATCAGTATTTCATTCCTTTTTGTGGCTGAATAAAATTCCACTTCATGGATATACTGTGTATTGTTCATTCATTCATCAGGTGATAGACATTTGGGTTGTGTTCACTTTTTGGCTGTTTTTGGCTGTTATGAATCATGCTGCTCTGACATTCAAGTACTAGTTTTTGTGTGACCATATTTTTTTCAGTTCTCTTGGATATATACCCAGGAGTGAAATTGCTGGGTCGTACGGTAAATCTGTGTTTAAATTTTTGAGGAACCATGAGAATGTTTACCACAGTGACTGCACCATTTTATACTCCCACCAGCAGTGTATGATGGAGGGTTCCATTTTCTCTACTTCTTTGTCAGCATGTTTGTTTGTTTGTTTTTTGATAGCCATCCTAGTAAATATAAAGTGGAATCTCATTGTGGTTTTGATTTTAATTTCCTTAATGATTAAGGTGAATGGCTTTTCATGTGCTTGTTGTATATTTTCTTGAGCGAAATATCCAGATTCTGGCGCCACATTTTAGTTGGGTTATTTGTCTTTTTATGGTTGAGTTGTAAGAGTTCTTTATATATTCTGGACATTCAGACATATGATTTGCAGATATTTTCGCTTATTCTGTGAGTTGTCTTTTCACTTTCCTGATAGTATCCATTGGTGTACAAAAGAGTTTTCTCCCCCCCTTTCTTGATTCATATAAGTATTTATTGAGCAGCTAGGGAGATACAAAGGTGAATAAAACATGGTCCAAGAGGTGAGTCAAATGCAAAGTAACAGAGAGCAAAGTATAAGGTTCCCTGGATCACAGCAGTCAGATGAAAGTGCTTTGGGAAGTCAGGATGGAGATTGCTTCCAGCCTGGAAGGGGGTGTGGGTGGGTGGCAAACCAGGAACGGGGATTGAAATTAAAATAGAAGACTTTCGTCTGGATTGTTGATTTTCAGTATGGACTATATTTGTCTCTCTTTTTCCTCTCCCCATCTTTGGGCTTAATTTACCAGGATCGTTCAGCATGTTTTTTCTAGACTTGCTTGCATTTTTGCTTTAATGTCTTCTACAGAAATAGATCCTCTTGCTGTTTTAGGACGTTTTTCTTCTTAAAGGATTCGTGACCTTTTGATCTTGGAGTTAATGGTTTTGAGTCTTTTCCATTCTGGTTTGATTTTTTTTTTTTTATGCCTCTTTGACTGGAATATTGAGTATACATTTCTTCCCTGGAGCTTTTTCCTCTGCTTCCTCATCCTCCTCCTCATCATCCAGTTTCACTTTTTTTTTTTCCTGTGGAAACTTGCTCTCTCTTAGAGGGGCAGGTCACTTTCCAGATACGCTGTGGAGTTTCACACCTTCATCTTCTGACTTCATCTTCCTCCACAGCTGCTAGGTGCTGTCCACACGTACAGGGCCTGAACCACATTTAGATCACAGGTGGTGTTATTTCAAAGACTCCAAGGGAAACCATTGGCTGTACAGATGTTCTCAAAGTTGCCAATGTTACTTGAATTGGACTGCCTTTATAATTTATTGCCTCTGCTTTAACAATGTACAATTCTTCTTTTGCATCGGCCCCAAAACTGACCATTCATTTAAAGGTAACTGGTGCTCATTTTCATCATTATCCACTTTAAAGTGATACTCTTTGGCACTTGTTGGCCTCATAACTGAAAAGATATTTCTGGGGCCACACGGGGCTCATGTCATTGTCCACTGAATCTTCTGTGGGGTGGGAATCTTGTGTGGGAGAGAGGGCAGCCGGAGATAAAAGACACCCGTGATAGAGAACAGCCATGTAGGACTGAATCACACCAGGGCCAAAAGTTTTTACTTGTGATGAAGCCCGTTTTATTTTTTCTTTCATTACTTGAGATTTTGGTGTCATTTACAAGAAACCGTTGCATAATCTAAGGCCACAAGGATTTATTCCTGTGTTTTCTTCTGTAAATTTTATTGTTTTAACTCTTAGATTTAGGTCTTTGAGCCTAATTTTGTTTTTTGGTGAACAGAAGTTGTTTGGATCTTACATGAGACTACCCTGGAATCATTAAAACAGTTGACTATTTTGTCCTTTTAAAAGCTTCATAGTGGGGTGCCTGGGTGGCTCAGTCAGCTGGGCATCCAATTCTTGATTTTGGCTCAGGTCATGATCTCAGGGTCATGGAATTGAGCCCCTCATCAGGCTCCGTGCTAAGCCTGGAGTCTGTTTGAGATTTTCCCTCTCCCTGGGTCCCTCCCCCTGCTTGTGCACATTCTCTCTAAATAAATAAATAAAATCTTAAAAAAAAAAAAACTTCATAGTTTTGTTTCTTACATTATTCTTAATCTGCCAGAAATTGGCTTTTTTGTGTCTCTGCCTCAAGGTAGGGGTCACATTCATTTATTTTATCTATGGATAATTAATTGCAAAGTTCATCCTTTTCTAACTGTTCTACAATTTTAGCTCTAATATAATTCAAGTTTGCATCTATGTATCTGTTGATTTCTGGGCTTTGTGTTCTTATTTATCTCCCGCCCTCTTTGTGATGTTCATGCAGAAATACAGTAATACTTTCCTAATTACTAGAGCTTTATAATACCTTTTTTCCAGTAAGGTAAGCCCCACTTCTGCACGCATGCTTTAGCTATTTAAAATTTTTTTACCATCTCATGTAACTTATAGAATCACATTTTTTGATTCTCTAAAACATCTTTCTGGAATTTTCATTGGAATCATGTAGAATATAGATATCAATTTGGAAAGAATGAAGTCCTTATGACATTGAGTCTTCCAATCTATGAATATTGTATATCTGTCCATTTAGGAGGTCTTTCATGTTTTTTTTTCTTTTTGTTCATAAATAATCTATATCCCTTGCATTTAATTAAACTGTAGCCACTTTATATTTTTGACGCTCTTGTTAATATCTTTTTAAAAAATTACATTTTTCTGTTGCGTTTGACTTTTTTATAGACCAGTCTCCCTGAATTATCCTTTTAATGCTGATTTCTTATTTGTAGGTTCTTTTGGGCTTTTTGTGTAGGTAATGGTCATATCAATAGTTTTAAAAAAAAAGACAGTTTTGTTTCTTTCTTTACAGTCCTTAAATCTTTTCCTTACTTTTCTGTTGCTTTATTGCTCTTGTTAGGACTGCAATACAATGTTGAAAGTGGTTATTCTTGTTCTTTTCTTTTTTTTTTTTTTAAAGATTATTTATTTATTTATTTATTTGACAGAGAGAGAGAGAGAGAGAGAGAGAGAGACAGTGAGAGAGGGAACACAAGCAGGGGGAGCAGGAGAAGGAGAAGCAGGCTTCCTGTGGAGCAGGGAGCCCGATGTGGGGCTCGATCCCAGGGCGCTGGGATCATGACCTGAGCCGAAGGCAGATGCTTAACAACTGAGCCATCCAGGCGCCCCAAAATATTGGGTTTTTTTTTTTTTTTTTTAAGTAGCCTCCATGCCCAGCATGGAGCCCAGTGAGGGGCTTGAACTCAACCCTGAGATCAAGAGTCAGATGCTTACCTAACTGAGCCACCCGGGCCCCCCCTTTCCCTTTATTTTTTGTGCTTTTATATTTAAGGTATATCTCTTATATAGGTATATAGCTGGATTTTGTTTTTTATCCAGTCTGACAGTCTGTCTTTCCACAGGATAATTTAGTTCTTTTAACCTGATTATGATGATTGGTGATACCCCAATTATTTTTAACTATTTTATACTATTTGTCCTATCTTTTTTATGCTGAATTTGGTATTCTTGTTTGTTTTTTCCAGTCCTTATCTTGGGTTGATTCTTTGTTTTACTACATTTCCTTTTACCCCACTACTTTGGATTTTATCCCCAATTTTTTTGTTTATTGTGCCCCCCCCCCGCCAATTTATCAGCCTATTTAACTTGAAGCCTAAAACTAATTAAAATCTTAACCATCTTCTTGAGAAGTATGAGGGCATGGAACTTCTTGATTTCTTTCTCTTTTCTCCCAACTTTTATGCTACTTTTGTCATACATTTTAGTTTTCCTTGTTTTATTTCAACCACCAAAGACATTATTTTATACAGTCAGTGCTCATTTAGGTGTATGCACATATTTGTCGTTCGCATTTGCTCATCAGTCCTTCTCGCAGCACAGATCTTCTGTTTGGGGGTACATGCTTCTGCGTGAAGAACATCCTTCAGAATTTCCTTTAGTGAGGATCCGTTCATTGGCAGATTAAGTATTTGTTTAATTGTTGTGACTTAAATGTCTTTTATTTATGCCTGTTTATTGAGAGATATTTTTGTTATGTGCTTCTTTTTGTCCCAGCACACTGTCTTCTGGCTTCCACTGTTAAGACATCAGCCCTTTAGGCTAGTTTGTATTGTTTCGTGGATGGTCTGAATTTTCTCTCTGGCTGACTTCAGTATCTTTGTGTGCTGTTGTTTTTAGTATGAGTTATTAGGGATGTGTTTTTGTTTTTAAATCTGTCCAGCTTAAGACTCGTTGGGCTTTTTTTTTAAATTTAAATTCAGTTAATTAACATATAATGTATTGTTTGTTTCAGGGATACAGGTCTGTGATTCATCAGTCTTATATAATACCCAATGCTCATTACAGCACATTGGGCTTCTTGAATGTGTTAGAGTTTTTAATCAGTTCTGGAAAATTCTAAGCCATTATCTTTTTTTTCCCCCCACATCTTTTTCTATAGTTTCTTTGTTATCTCCTGAAATTTCTATTAGATGTAGCATCTTACACTCTTGTCTTCCTGTCTCTTCATTGTTTTTTCTTTCCCAGTTGTTGCTTCTTGGGGCTTTGTTTGGGCAATTTCTTCATTTCTGTTTTTCAGTTTGCATTTCTCTTTTCAGTTATATCTAATCTGTCAAATAGATCTTTAATTTCAATTGTTTTTATTGCTTTAATTTCTATTAGGCTAATTTTTAAATCTCATCATGTAAAAAATATTACCTTGCTTTAAAAAAATGTTCAGCCATCTTTTATTTATTGAGTCATATTAAATTTATAATAATATGCCTGACAATTCTTTTTTGTATCAGTGGGTCTGATTCTGCTGAGTTGCTCAGATCTGGTCTCTCTTCTTTAGATTCTTCACTTGTGAAATAGCAGTACTCCTGCTAATAATACCCACTCAATTATGTGGTGGTTGTATGATATGTGGCATATAGTAAAGGCTCAGTAATGTGTAATCCATTATAATAATTAAAAATAATGAAATATGTTGTATGACCATTATGAGGTATATAGGAGCTACAAATTTTATTGAGGAATATAAAGGGCAACTTGAGTAAAGAACTATACCACAGATGCATAGAAACACAGTATTAATTTTAGTAATGTGAACATCATTTATATATAATTGTATGTTTTATACAGTTTCAGTAAAAACTCTAGGTCTTTTTAAATTTGCAAAATTATTGTAAAGTTCATGTAAAAGAACAAATAAGTGAGGAAAGTTTGTATCTTTTGTTTTTGTTTGTTTTTAGTCTTTCTGTTACCATGATTTTGTCTGGTACTAAGAACAAAACGTGATTTCTGGAAGCTTGTTTATTCCTTTCTCCATACCTACTTAACAGGGATCCTAAAAGAAGGCCCTCTAAGCAGAGGAAAGGAAGGGAATGAAGAACTCAGTTCCATAAAAATGACTTCATAACTCCAAATATCTGTCTTTTGCTTATACAGATAGCAGCCTGCAAAAGTACTTTGAATTCCAAGGTGGACGTGGTCCTGGAAGCTTGTCTCTTGGAGGAATTTTATCCTTAGGTTGACTTACTTGACTAGGAGTCTTGACTAGCAGTCTTAGAAGTACAAATTATTTTTTCCTAGAGGCTTTAGTAGACATAACATCTTTACCCCGTGTCTCTGCTGTTATCTTAGGCAGTAAAATTCACAAGCTGTGTGTTGAGCATTTACTAGGTATCAAGCCCTGGCTTACGTGCTGAAAAATAAAAAGCTGTGAACCAAGCAAGGTCCCTTCTTGGTTCAGTAATAATTGTGGGTAATATTTACTGAACTTTTATAGTTGTAATGTGCTTGATACATATTGAGTTATTTAGTCTTCTCAGAAATCTATGTGGTAGATAGAATTGATATTCCTACCTTACATAATGAGTGGTTTATATACTTGTTCAGGATCTTAGGATCCTGCCACTTGTAAAGGGTGACCCTAAGGCTCAAACCCGGGCAGAGTAATGCAGATTGCTTTTTGTTTTGTAATTGTACACAAAGTTGTAGTTTTGCTAGTGCCTCTTGACTGCAAAATATAAAGGTGGGCTGGGGGGCTGAACATGGTGTTGTTCTGAGTTAAGGATTAGTCTGCAAATGCGCTACAAAACTCTTCCTACCAGACATTAGTGCATACTGTATCTGTAACATACAAAGTGTTTTTCCTGTGCTACAAAAGGTCATTGTGATGGAGGTCTATCGGGTAGCTTCCAATGTTTAGCTTCTCTTATGATTTTGCTTTTAAATTGATCAGAATTAAAATATAAAAGGATTCTCTAATGATTATATTATTTAGTTCTTAGTCAAAATAAGTCTGATTGGATTTGTTAGGACCCTTGGATCCATTAGGCCCTAGTAGATTAGAAGATTACCCCATAGAATTGCTCAGTAGCATGTGTTATCTCTGGCGATTAATTACTGGGAGGGGCGACTGCATCAGATGCCTGAATCTTTCTTTCTGGGTCTCTTAGCAACAGCTGGAAGAAGAAGCGGCTAAACCTCCTGAGCCTGAGAAGCCTGTGTCCCCTCCTCCCGTGGAGCAGAAACACCGCAGTATTGTCCAAATTATTTATGATGAGAATCGGGTAAGCCCATGCCATTTCTTACAACACAGGCCTTTAAAAGCGCTTGGCTATGCCTTTTTTAATTATCAATATGTTAAGTGGTAATGTTAATTGTATTGAGACCTGAGTTCTGTCATAATTTTTAATGTTCTTAAACTTTGACTAAAGCCTGATTTTTTTTTTTCCCTTGGAGATTGAAGAAAAGTTGATAGGTGTATCTTAAATTAATATTTTATATATTATATTACATAATATTATTTAATGAGAATATAATTTTATGAACTGACTCTCCTGTCATACAAAATTGGCAAGCAGATTTGTAGCACATAATACAAAACAAGCCATTCTGTAGTTTTTCACTTTATAAAGGACATTTGATGCCAAATACTGACACTATCCTATGAGAGATGGGTCATCGGATGTGGAAATGACTTGCATTGTTAGTTTTAGAAAGCTGGGCTGTAGTTTGAATCTTACTTAATAAAGTGTGAGGCCATTGACCTTTAGGTAGACTTTGCTTTTTTGCTTTATTGAAACAATTTCTTCTTTCATACTGGTAATTAAAAGTACTCATCGATTTAGGAAAGCCGGGCCTCAATTCTATGAATAATTTTGTGATGTCAGAGGTTTTTGGTTTTTGGCTGGAATCTAGCCCAGGAACTAGCAGTTAAAGGGAAATGGATTTTACCTTAACATAAAGAAACTTTCCAACAGAGTTGCTTAACATTGGGCTTCTAGAAGTTCCTAGTCTAAAAAAAGAATATGCTTTAAGTACTGTGGGAGAGAACAGGCCTGTTAGCTAAAGATGATCATAAGGTAGAGGTTGAGATTGTTGTTTTAACTGGTTTTCTTTGTAGTGAGTGGAGTCATCAGAATCAGTACATCATACATAGGCAACCTATAACTTTATAATAGCCCAGTTCCTAAAGGAAATTGGCCTTAAGAAAGGCAACTATGAATTAATTATTATATACACATTTATAGGAATGATCTTATACCAGATATACATGTATGTGTGTATATATATATATGTGTATATATATATATGTAGGTAACTGAAAGTCATCAGATACATAATAGGATAATGGTAAGTGTCACAGGCAGGTAAAAATATGGGCAATTAATGTTATTTTCTTGGCTGGGTTCAAAATTAGTCCAGCTTGCTGAATGGACAGAGCAATCTCCTTGAGGATCTGTTTGAAGATCTATCCAGTGAGAATAAACTGTATATAAAGCAAGTGACAAGGATGGCCTCGTGGCTTTCCTGGAGGGTCAGTGACTCTGGTCAAGCAGGAATGTGGCCCAAGGTTGACAGGTGCTCCCTTGTTTCAGGAAAGCCAGGAGCATGTTGTTTTATGTTGAGTCTCCTGCTTTTAAAAAAATACTCTATAGAATAATAAAATACTTTCGTGGGCTGATGGGCTTCATGGCCAGTTTAGGACCTTGGAGATAAAATAAATAGGGATTAGAGCTAACAATGGAAAAGAATTTTATAAAGTAAACTTTGACTTCTTAGTGTGAGTAAATTTTTAAAGAAATTGAATTCAGCGATATTAATTGATTGAATTTCTTAATTAAGTGTTGTCATTACTTGTGAATTTGTGATTGACTAGGATGTGAGGACTGAAAACTATTGAACAAGATCTGATGGAGAGTTTAATTTGTGTTCAATTTTTGTAGATATATGTTTTCATTACTTAGTGTAGTAAACATTTCTTGGGGCCCAGCAACAAAACTAAACACTCCTCTCAGACCTCTCCTCTCCACTTTAGTATATATATATTCCATTTTGTGATGCATTCTGTGAAGAATAGAAGAACAACCAAACTTATTAGACTTACAGTGAAGACTATTTTTAACTCACAGTAACTGTAGAAATCCTCTTTGTACACATCTCCTCTTTTTGGTTGCCCTGCTCGGAGTCACCCGCAGTGCTGTAGGTCTGCAGTGGGGGTTCACGGCGGGGGCGCGTGAGAGCGCCGCTGGGCCCAGGGCCCAGGCCGTCTCACTGCTGCCCCACTGCGCTGCCTTCTGTCAGGCCTTCACGGCCGTCCGAGCTTCCTTTAATGAATGACCTTACCTGTTTCGGCACCAGAGGAAAGGAGACGTGGGTGAGGGCAAGAGGACATTTCTCTCTTGTTCCTTGTTTGGCAGCCATCTACATGGTTGGGAATTAAGCCAAATGTGGCTTCTGAGATAGGGGCCATTATCTTGTATTAGGCATCTTTCGTTTCTTTAGAGAGTTAGTGGGAGGAAGAAAGCTGCCTCAAAGTGACTGTTAATTTTAAAGTTGGCTTCCTGAGAGAAAAATTGTCTTGCATCATATTTAAACTTTAGACTGAGATTCACTTAGTCTCTAAACAGACTCATCTTCTGGACTATTTTTAACAGTTTGCTGTTATCCTTCCCCGTTGTCAGTTCCAAAAATATTTATAAATGCTCTAATTTCAGAATTCCAATACATATAGAAAAGGGCGCGCGTGGAGTGTGGTTTTCAAAGATATCTTGTTTATTTTTTGATTGCATGATTTGAAAGTTAAAGTGACAACAGAAGAAAGAAAGGGATTGACAGTAGAAAGTGTACGAAGTGCCAGCAAGCTCTAGTCACCTAGGCCAGTGTCCTGGGCAATCTGTTTCCCTCTCTGCCACGCTCTAGAGTTAGTTAATCAAAGAAGAGCATCAGTCCTGCCTCCTAAATAGTGGTCTCGTCAGTTGCTTCTCTCTTCCTCCTTTGGCAATAGCTTATGTGAGCCGTCATCACTCACACAAATAGTGAGCGTCCTTCCTTCAGTCTTTTTTCTTTCTAACCGGTCCTTCATATTTTTTTTTTTTTTAAAGATTTTATTCATTTATTTGACAGAGAGAGACACAGTGAGAGAGGGATCACAAGCAGGGGGAGTGGGAGAGGGAGAAGCAGGCTTCCCGCCAAGCGGGGAGCCCGATACGGGGCTCCATCCCAGGACCCGGGATCATGACCTGAGCCGAAGGCAGAAGCTTAACGACCGAGCCACCCAGGCGCCCCTAACCGGTCCTTCATATTTGAGTCCCCTTACGTGATTCTCCAAATAGAACTTTTTGATTATTTCCCACTTTTTGCAGAATAGCTTTAACTTTTTTTCAGCGCTTACAGGCCTGCCTGCCTGGCCATTGGCCCAGTTGTCCTTTCTTAAGGCAATCCTACCAGAATAGGTTTGAATGTTCCCCTGATATCCCTGGATGTCCCCCTGCCTCCAGGCATTTCAGTGTCTCCTCTTTCCTGTTTGTTGAGTGTGCTTATACTTCAGCCCTGCTCACGTGTCATCTTCCCTATGAAGCTTTTCAAGACCCCTTTTCCTCCTACTTATTGTTTTCTTAGTGTCTAGTAAGTGCCTGGCACATAGAACATATCAACATGTTTGAGGAATTAAGTGTTTCTGTCTATAGACTTAGGATAAAAATTATAATATGGAAATGTGAGGGTTTTATTTTTTATTATTATTTTTTAAAGATTTTATTTTGTGTATTAGAGAGAGAGACACAGGGAGAGAGGGAACACAAGCAGGGGGAGTGGGAGAGGGAGAAGCAGGCTCCCAGCAGAGCAGGGAGCCTGATGTGGGGCTTGATCCCAGGACCCCGGGATGATGAACCTGAGCCGAAAGCAGATGCTTACCAACTGAGCCACCCAGGTGCCCCAATGTGAGGGTTTTAAATTAAAATTTTTGTTGGCCAAACTTGATAGGTTAATGTGTTCTTAGCAGTTAAGCCAACATGAAGTCAAATGTTTATTACAAGTTTGCACAACTTACATCTTGGGGTCTGCAAACATCTTAAATACTAGCTTCAAAAATTAGCTCTGAAAAGGCAAGTGTCTTTACATATTCGGATACTAGTATTTGTCATGATATAATTTTACTCCCTTGTCTCTCAGGGTTATTTGTAAGGGTGCCTGGCTGGCTTGGTCCGTGGAGTGTGCAGGTCTTGATCTCAGGGTTGTGTAGAGATTGCTCAAAAAAAAAAAAAAAGAAAGCAAATTAAAAAATTGGTGAGTGTTGGGTCTGGTGGAAGTTAGTTGCAGGTGCTAGATATTTCCAAATTTATTATCTATGATGATGTTGTTTATGTGTTATTTAATATATGTCTGTAGCTAATCTGAATTTTATGATCATTACATTTAGACTTCTTAGGTTGTTTGTTCTCATCTGGAGACTTTTTTTGATTGTTGTAACTTGGAGGACAGATGGAGTGCTACTGGCATCTAGTGGGGTACTGCTAAATGTCCCACAATGCATAGGACAGTCCCTAGAACACATATCTGGGCCAAAATGGTAATAGTGCCAAGGTTGACAAATCCTGCCTTTAAATTCTCTATAGAAATAGGATCTGCTCTGCCAATTTAATGGATTTTTATAGTTTTATATTTGACTTTTTTCGTATATTTATTTCTCATCTTAACAACCTTTTTAGTTTCTTGGAGTTTGGAAAGTGCTTTACAGTATTTTGTGCTTCTTATGCTTCCTAGTTCTTTTCACACAGTACATACTAAGTAAATATTGATGGATTAATTTTGATTGATAGATGAAAAGGAGAATATTTATTTTAAAGGAACATCTTTCTTTACACCCGGGGAATACTGATTAATATCCAGTCCCATTTGTGTGTCACATCAGAAGCCCTGGAGAGTTTCCCAGCAGCAAATGCATTGAGGTGGGCGTCTGCCCAGCAGACGGGGAACCATTGTTACTAACGGGAATGTGTTGAGAGGAAGAGGGACTTGAGAACCACTGACACATTTGGTAGTCCTATAATTCCAGTTTAAACATCTTTAGCTTCAAATTTGTTATATTTCGTCTATTAAAGGACGATTTCTGTTAGCACATTGGTCTAGATTAATTTACTTTTGAAAATGGACTGTAAAAAATATTTAATTCAGCATTTATTTACTATTGAACACTTGAGAAATTCAAACTAGCTGTTTCCTCAGTTCAGTTATTACCTAGGTTTTCTTATAACTAGAACATGGCTCATTATAAGCTTTTCTTCCAAGAGATCAGTTTGGCTTACAACAGTAAAGACTGGCAACGTTATGGTATTTTATGTTTTTAAATTTTTACTAAAGACATTATGTCTTGGAAGTGTTGAGGGATTCATTTCTAATAGTGAATCTGTGTTCCCTCTCCCTAGAATCTTGATACCTGTTTGCTGTTAAGAACTTCACAGTTCTTTAGTTATTACTTTCTTTTTTTTTTTTTTTAAGATTTTATTTACTTATTTGAGAGAGAGAAGTGAGAGAGAGCACAAGAGTGGGGTGAGGGGCAGAGGGAGAAGCAGACTCCCTGCTGAGCAGGGAGCCTCATGTGGGGCTTGATCCCAGGACTCCAGGATCATGACCTGAGCCAAACACAGCTGCTTAACCAGCTGAACCACCCAGGCGCCCCTATTATTACTTTCAGTACAAATGTGAAGCTTTGACTTAATGTGGTGAGGAGGTTATGAAAACAAAAGAGAGTATTTCAACTTATCATATGGCAGGAGTATTTGGAAATAAGGAAAGTTCTACTATAGAGTAGTTTTAGGTAAATATTAAATTGGTAGTGATTTTGCACTTAGGTAATATAATTTTTAATTATACAATATAATAATGTCTTTGTAGAAAAAAGCAGAAGAAGCTCATAAAATATTTGAAGGTCTTGGCCCAAAAGTTGAACTGGTAAGTAAGAAATTTCTTTTTTCATGTCTAAGCTGGTTTTTTTGTTTTTGTTTTTGTTTTTTTGGTAGTCATTTTGCTTGGGATAAGATGGAATACAATCTGTCTACTTTGGAATGAGATCTGGTCTGTATGTTTGTGGTAAACTTTAAAATCGTGGTGCACAAACTTGGTTACCTTTGCAGAAGTGTGTTTTTGCCTGAGCAGGCCATTTACTCATACGAGGTAGAAGCAGGACAAGTAAGAACAGAAATAGCTCTTTGGACCATATGTTCTTCCTTTGCCTTTGAAATTAAAAATCCGTGAATAAATGTATTTCTTACGGGATATGGTGGATTTATAAACATTTTTACAGGAGTGGCATTAATAGGAGATGGGGTAAAGAGAATTATTCAGGGAACCTGGAGGTCTGGAGGTTCTGGTAGGGCAGGTATTGTGAAGATCCATGAATACTAGGTTTACATGAAAATATAAACTGTTGCTTTGTGTTTTCATAGACATGTGTACAATGTTGTATATGTAAATATTTGATTTATTTTACAGCCACTCTATAACCAGCCATCGGATACCAAGGTGTATCATGAGAACATCAAGACGTAAGTATTTATCATCTTTGGAGTTCTTCAGTTAAAGACCATATATTCTATAAAGAGATCGTTTTTATGTTATCTGCTGACTTTATTATAATATAGTGTAGGTGTGTTTTAGATTTGTGTAATTTGCTGTCGTTTTACTATATGTTATCTTCCTCTGGCTTCTTGGGGGTTGGGGTAACAGCTTTGAGTTTCCGAGGCCAAAAAAATGAAATAAATTATTGCATAAAACTAGCTGGTTTTATGATCTGCTAGTAAAAAAGGTGAATACTTAACATTGAAATGGCTTACCTTGAGGCTTGAATTTTTTGCCTCCTGTTTTGTCTTTTTTTCAGTGGAGTACCTGCAAGGCGCATGATGAAGTAAGATAATGAAGCTTTTTCATTTAAGACTAGTGATGACACCGTCCCCCACCAAGCCACATCTGCCATTGCAAAGTAGAAGTGCCACGGATCATTTTATCATTATTCAAAATCCTATTCTAGGGAAATCCCTTCCATGACTCTTGCTAATGACGGTATTTGTAGACCCTTCTGCCATTTAATGTCCTGGTGCCTTGGAAGCGCTCAGTCACCTCACGTGGGTGAGGAGACTGCTCCAGAATGTAGTTTGCTTAGCCTTGCTCATCCTAGATACCAGGCCTTTATGGATGCAGATTTTGGAATAAGAAAATAAGTGAAAAGAAAATCTAATTTCTTGATCTGATTGAAGTAAGAGAGGAGGCTAGATAGGTATCTTTTTTTTTTTTAATTATCATACTTTAAGAGAATTTAGGTGAATTATTCATAGTTTGTAACAAAAATGTAATATTTCTACTTTATGTTTTATTAAGGATAATCAGAACATTTTAATTATTTAGTATAGTTACTAATGAGCACATTGCTACTTATATATCAGATATATTTTTTTCTTTTAAAAAATTTCTGACTGAGTATATGTGCAATAGTTGACTACTTTGCAGAATTGGTGGCAAATATAATTTGCATGGTAGTATGCATGAACAAAATAGAAATTTGAATAATTTTAACTTTTGTTAAGTAAGTGGTTTATAATAAAAGTCCTATACTTAGAATTTTTCTGTGAGATGCTACTATGGTCTTGACAACCCTTAGAAGTAGGCTTAGACAAAACTCATAAAATATACCTTGTTCTGGAACTGTTTAGCTGTTTTAGCATTTTTAAAAAGGAGAATAGCAGATAAAATCTAGTTGGCTACTTTTAATGATTTTTTTTTCCCCTCACAAAGCTTCAGTTATGTTTGTGTTCTTTGACCCCTAATATTAGCGGCAGAGCAGCTCTGTCTGATTTATTTCATGCTGTCTACATTGCCCGACTACAGTGCTTAGGACACTGTTCTGGGATGGCTTACTGACTGGCTGACTTCTTAAATCCTAGGAAACATTTTAAATGATATTTATTGATTATCATTTGCTTTTGAGTAACACATAATTAAAATTAGAGCAAACTGAATATATGGTACCACTTCCACTGTATGTCACCTTGTGAAGTAACCATTTACTCAGCTGCATGCATCCATATGCATCGTGTAGTAGCTCTTTTCTCATCACCGTCATTTGCTTTGTATGAAATAGCAAATCTACCTTTTGATAATTCTTTTCATGTCTTGGGTACTCTTCCATGTAGCCAGCTCCTGACTGCCCACAGAGCCAGTGTCACTGTTAGTCCTGAGTGGCCGATAATCCAAAAAATTACTTCTACTTGCCTTGGCTTTGTATTTATATTTGCATAATCAGCTTGAAATCCTTTCTGGAAGTAGGTGGGGTATAAATATTTATATTTGAACCTGCATGTCATTGTTTTTGAAGGTCACAATGCTTCAAATTTAAAAAGTGTAACTGTTTCATTAAGATCTAAGAGAAGTCTTCCTGTCTTGTCACATTGCCCTCCGTGACTTCTTAGAGTGGTTTGTGTCATTTCTGTGATGGAAGGAAATCTTCTGTGTAAAAGCAGAAGTCCCCTCTCTCTCTGTTGGTATACGTTCTCATCATAGAAGGGAGGTCAGCACCGTACCTGAGGTAGGGAGGTAACTTTAAAAGCCTTTCCTTCTCTTCTACCTCCCCGCCTCCAAGAATGCACAGAGATGTTTATATCACCAGAGTTCTTGAGAAGAATCAGTGACTGTGTAATTATAACTTGAAACAATTTGCCTTATACTTGGATGTAATAATTGAAAATGAACTATTTGTATAAAATCTTGCTGGAGAGTGGAAGGAATTTTAGTTCTAATTATTGCAAAAGTCTTATTTTGCAGGGTGAAAAAGATTAAGATTAACTTTGATTACATCAGATATTCTTAAGTGATCTTTGCTTGTTTTTCAGTGTCTCTGAAAAAAAGTGAATGCATTATTAAATTGTGCTTTTTCTTAATGTCATACAACCATATTTTTCTCTTCTAGAAACCAGGTGATGAGGAAAAAACTCATTTTATTTTTTAAAAGAAGAAATCATGCAAGAAAACAAAGGGTGAGGTCCTATCCTTTAACTGAAATTTGTACAACTTTCCCATTCATGCTCATTTAGGCATTTACTTTCCCTTTATTAGTGAGAATGGTTTTTGATTATGTTTGAGAAAAGGCTGCCGATTTAGAAAGTAACTATAGAGATGACTTAAATATAAATCCAATTCTAGCAGTGATTGACATTTAATATCATTATCAGAATAATTTCTTTGGTCATCTGTGTATAGCATTTTCATCTAGCCATAATAAAGAAAATGGTGAGTAGTTAAAAAAGAATATGAAAGAGAAATAGGATGATCAACATTTAGTCTCTTAAACCCTCAGACCAGTGTGGGTAAGTTACAGTCATGCTGAGTAGACATTACTGTTCTTTCTTATTAGGAACCGGGTCAGCTAAAGTTCAGCTTTTTGAAATTCAGATTCTTTTTCATATTTATTATATGACTTGCATCCAGAAGTTTTGTGGTTCTAATGTTCATGGAAATGAAGCTACAGAAAATAAAATGCCAGTATACTTCTTTTCACAATATGTTCAGACTAAATTTAGACAGACTGTTGATTCGTTTAAAGTCATTTGCTTACCAAATAAATGATGTTCTTTAATTCACATCAAAAATGAGCCGTGTACCTTCTATTTAATGACGTGACAGTTAAATGAATTGTAAAGCTCAAGAGTCAGTGGCTTTTGCTTGATACATAACTTCCAATGTAATTTGCCAGTCTGGTCCTTCAGATACTATCTTTAAATTAATGTTTTTTGTTTTTGTTTTTGCCAAAAACATACAAATATTAAATAAGAAACTTCTAAAGCATTTTTTTTTCCTATCCAGTAATTTTGTTATAATTGTGGTCATTTAATGTCTGGTGATGCAAACATAGAAGTGTAGACTTTGTTTTCATGCTTCACAGAGTCTTTAGTTATAACATTTACGTGTTCACTGATTTGTTTAATAAATATTTATTGGCTGTTTACTCTGTCCATGTATTATTCCACAGAGGTGAGCAAGATAGCCATATGGTTTTAACCCTTGAAGCATACAATGTAACTGGGGGCAGATGAGTCGCAGGCAGTTAAGAGTATCATAATCACACTGTGGGAAGGGAGGGACGTACAGACGACTGCGGGAGCATACAGGAGGGACAGCTAATGCCCCGTGGATGAATCATAAAGGGAAGTGTGCAGGACAGCGAGAAGCTCTGGAAATCTGCGCGGGCACAGGGGGCCGCTGAAATGAGGTCTGGGAGGTGGAGGGAGGGCGGCAGTCTGCTGGGGGCGCAGCAGAAATGAGGCTGCTGAGGCTAGAGGGCCGGGCCGCACCCAGGAGGTCCGCCTACAGGGCTTTGGGCTCGGTCCCGGGGGCATCTTACAAGTGTTTGAACTGAGAAGTGAGACGCTCAGGTTTGTACTTTAAGAATGTGCTTCTGGCTCCACCATTAAGAAGGCCTGGGAGACAGTTCGGAGGCTCTTACTTTGATGTAGGTAAGGGGCGATGTTGGCCTGGACTGAGGAGCTAGCTAGAGATGGAGAAAGGGAAGGACACAGACGACACCTGGGGGTTGAAAAGAATGATTGGGAAGTGTCTGGGGGCGGCACAGATCATGAGGAGGACAATATTCTCCTCTCTGTTGCCACTTTCCTGAAGGGACCAATGTTAATGGCTTTTCATGAGTCTTTCTACACCTTTTTCTGTCTTTGTGTTGTTGACACGTTCACAGTTCAGTGCTCATAATGGAGGCTTCTTGCCTCTCTGTTTAAAAAATGAGATCATACATTACTAATGTCTCTAAAAGGATTAATTCTTGGTTTCGTGTAGTTCACTGCATTTCTTTTTATCATAAAGTACAACCAATTTCTGCCTTTTCCAGACTGTCAAAAATGTTTATTAGATAGCATTGTTTATAATAACAAAAACCTTCAAGTAATCAAAGACTCCAGGAGTAGAGGAACGGTTAAAGCATGAGTGTTTTCTCTGACAGATTGTTAGGAAAACACCAAAATGTCAGTATATTTGCTGTTGGGTGATTGGGATTTTGAACTATTCACATGTCTCTATTACTAATTTCCATTTTTTTTTAAAGATTTTATTTATTTATTTGACAGAGAGATAGAGTACAAGCAGGCAGAGAGGCAGGCAGAGGGAGAGGGAGAAGCAGGCTCTCCACTGAATGGGGAGCCCAGTGCGGGCTCGATCCCAGCACCCTGGGATCATGACCTGAGCCGAAGGCAGCTGCTTAACCGACTGAGCCACCCAGGTGCCCCTCCATTTTTTTTTTTTTTTTTTTTGACAATGAAGACATATATTTTTATCAGGAAAATAATAAAAGTAGCTGGTCAGCTACTAATAGTAGCTCATTAATTAATTAATCTATGTTAGTCTTAACGTTAACTAAAAAAATCTAGCCAAAATATGCTTTATATGCTGATCTTTGTAGGAAACAGAGCTCTTTTCTCTCTCTCGTCTTTCAGATCAAGAACAGCTTTTCATTCATAGTTGAGTCCTAGGCCAAATGTACTTCTGACTTAGCCTTAAGAAGTAACGTTTACTTTAAAGTGTTAGGTTTGTCAGAATGACAGAGTTTAGTTTAATTATTAATTTGCTGCGGGTATTTAATAGGAACAAAAAATCTGCCAACGTTATGATCAGCTCATGGAGGCATGGGAGAAAAAAGTGGACAGAATAGAAAATAACCCCCGGAGGAAAGCTAAAGAAAGCAAAACAAGGGAATACTATGAAAAGCAGTTTCCTGAAATTCGAAAACAAAGAGAACAACAGGAAAGATTTCAGCGGTAAGTTGTTTGATGGCTAATGGCTGTGTTCTTTCCTCTCGAGTCCCACTCCTGCTCTCTCACGGTGTTAATGGTTACCTGAATCTGATCTTAAGAAAGTTCATAAAGAACCTTTCATTTTGAATATAAAACTTCAATCAGCTAGCAAAGATTATGTCTTGGTGAATTTAATATTAATTTTTTATACTTAATGCTGTTCAATCTAAATTTAAATGAGTATTTTGAAATTAATTCTTCTGTTCTTGAAAATACCTATTCCTTTAGAAATGACAGTTAAAAAGAATAGACTGGAATATTTCTTAGTTCTTCATTACCTGCCAGCACGACTAAACAGTATTAAATAGATGGCTAATTAAGAAGTTCTTTGATATTGGTAGTTTCTGATTTGGTTTTACTTTAGAGAGCAAGTATTTTGTAAAAGTAAAAGTTTTGGATTTCTTCTCCACTATCTCTTGTAAGATTATATGTAAGCTTTAATTCTTTAATCATGATTAAGTCCTTATGAGGGAGATGGTTATTGTTTTTTTCCCCTCTGTAAAAAATATTTAATGTATTTTTCTAAGTCAGCTGTCCTCTACTCTGGAAGGCAAAGACTGCTATTTGAAATGGAAACGTCTCCAACCAATACCTGTGGTTTTCCAGAAGTTTCCCATAAGTTGTTCTACCGTTTGAACTTGGACATGTAACCTTTAAATTTTAATCTTAACATTTTATTTTTATTTTTTTAAAAAGATTTTTTAATTTATTTGACAGAGAGAGAGACAGCGAGAGAGGGAACACAAGCAGGGGGAGTGGGAGAGGAAGAAGCGGGCTTCCCGCGGAGCAGGGAACCTGATGTGGGGCTCTATCCCAGGACCCTGGGACCATGACCTGAGCCGAAGGCAGATGCTTAACGACTGAGCCACCCAGGAGCCCCTAATCTCAACATTTTAATCATTCTTCTATAGAATTCTAATCTTCAGACATATTACTTAAAAGTAGTGGCTCAATAGCATTTGTTTTCTGACTTCTAGTTGGTTAAAAAAGTCCCATTCAGAGGAGTAATGTATATAAAAGTAACTTAATTGGTGTCTTCTTTATAAATGGCCTTTAAATATATTTGTAATTTCTTTCTTATATTTAGAGTTGGGCAGAGGGGAGCTGGTCTTTCAGCCACCATTGCTAGGAGCGAGCATGAGATTTCTGAAATTATTGATGGGCTCTCTGAGCAGGAGGTAAGGAAATTAATTGACTTAGTTTTTTAATTCATTGATTATTCAGGCATTTTAGCCTCATACCCCAGGAACTAAGGGCTTCTTTGTGCATAAACGAGGGAACATTTATAGAGTTTGTACTGTTCCAAAGACTGGCCAACCACTGAAGGTTTTACACCACGCAGTCCCATGATCAGATTGGCATCTTACACGGATGGCTTTGGCAGCAGGGAGGCCTAAAAGAGATGTGAGGAGGCTGTTAACATGAAAACAAGAGCCTGAATCAGAGATGTGTAGGAGCAGACTGACCGGAGAGATTTCATCTGAGGTGGACCTGAGGTGCTAGTGGGTTCCCCAAAGTGTGCTTTCTAGCCCCAGAAGCCTGGGAGACAGAGATGATATGGCATCAATAAATCCATGCTGAATAAAAATAAATTCCAGTCCCTAACATGAGTCTTCTGAGCTGTGTTCAAACTATTTCTAAAGGTTGGTCCAAAAGCCACCTCCTGTTTACTTAGTTCTGGTTTTGATTTTATATACTTGTTTTTTAAAAACCTCATCTCTGAAAAAATAAAAAATAAAAAATAAATAAAAACCTCATCTCTGGTGTCAACTATATACTTCAATTAAAAAACAAAACAAAACACAGCACAACACCAGGAAACCTCATCTCTGAATTCTGAAGGTCTTGCTTATTTGCGTGTGGTGGTCTCCTTAAGTAATGATCAAAGAAATTACTAAATGCTATATATTTTAAAACTTCTCAGAAACAAACTGAGGATTCTAGAGGGGAGGGGGTGGGGGGGATGGGTTAGCCTGGTGATGGGTATTAAAGAGGGCACATTCTGCATGGAGCACTGGGTGTTACACGCAAGCAATGAATCATGAAACGCTACATCAAAAACTAATGATGTAATGTATGGTGATTAACGTAACATAATAAAAAAAAAAAACTTGTGTTCGTAATCCCTGCAGTGATGACTAAATCTGTGTTAATTTTTTTTGCTTGCTTTTTGACTGATTCCATTAGGGCACATCTGTAAGCATCCAAAACTAGGACCAGTTGAGGTGACTCAAGCTCATGTGTCTGCCTCAAATCATGCTTTGGTGTTCAGATTGACTGAGAGTACCCCATAAAATTTGACACTTTGTAAGGACTTGACTGTAAGGCAGTATCCACTTCTATGAGGAAACGTTTTAGGAGAAAACCTAGCTTTGTGTTGAGGTCAATACCTGTAGTTTTGGTGAGTTTTTTCATAGAAATTTGTGCTCATGAACTTACTAAATTGAACTTTGGGAAAAACCAGCTGTATAGATGTAACAAAGTTTTAGTTGAAATTTTAAGGATAATAGTCTTCAATTTTCAGTGGAAAGATTACATAAGATTAGCAAAAAGTATTTCACACGTGAGTTTAACTTAAAATCACTGTCCTTAAGATTTTGGTGCCTGTTTTTTTTCCCCTATTCATTGGTCTCCAAAATGACATTAAGATTTATTCTCTAAAATGATGTTAAGACTTTTAAAAATGAGACTGTGTTAATATAATTAAATGTTTCATAAGATCATTACTTCAGTGAACTTGGCATTTCTTCGTGTCCTTTAGGTCTGAAATGTTACTATCTGAAGTATCTATTTCTTTTAAGTAAAGAACTCTTCTCCAATTATAGGAGTGGGATATAAAAACATAATGTGTATACCCTCTGTATGATTCATTTAATGAATATTTATGAGATATATGTGTAGTTACCACATGCTATTGACACATGAAACTACGCATGTGGTTCTTCTGGCATATATTAGGGTAGCTGGTCTATAGCCCTCTTTAAATTTTATTCTTCGTAAATGGTGTTTATTTTCTTTTGCAGAATAATGAGAAACAAATGCGGCAGCTCTCTGTGATCCCGCCTATGATGTTTGATGCAGAACAGAGACGGGTCAAGTTCATCAACATGAATGGGCTCATGGAGGACCCTATGAAGGTTTATAAAGATAGGCAGTTTATGAATGTTTGGACTGACCACGAGAAGGAGATCTTTAAGGACAAGTAATTTAAACTTTAAATTATTTTCTTATAGAAGCTTACATAAATTCATGAAAAGTATTTGGCATTCACTTGTAAATTGAACCATTTCCCCAAAACCTTGGCCCCTTTTTGGCATTTGGATGGATACTGTGGAAGGTAGAGACTATAGATTTGCTATGACCTTCCCATAAGCTTATAGATGGGAGGATCGGTCACAGATGAGAACTGGGGTTACGGAGTCATGTTAAGCATGGTACCCAAACTTGGGTGGTGTCTCATTCACCTGGGGGTGCATTTTAAAAGTAAAGGTTTCTGTGCTCTACCATAGGCCAGTCCCATCGGTTCCTGGTGGATGGTGCCCAGGAATCTGTGCCCTTAAAAGACTCCAGCGATTCTGTGGTTGTTTCTCAGGTTGGCAGTTAGGGGTCACTGGGAAGTAGGCGGTACTAATAGTTCTGTTCCCAAGGTCCCCCCCCTTTTTAAGTCATTAAAATGTTTGTGTGTATGTGTTTGTTTGTGTGTTTGTTTTCCCTTTTTTTACTCAGGTTTATCCAGCATCCAAAAAACTTTGGACTAATTGCATCCTACTTGGAAAGGAAGGTAAGAAATGGTTTGCATTGAGAATGTTTATGGGTTTGTGATGTTCGCTACTTTGAAGTTTTTGTGCTCTAATACACAGGTAGTTAAATAGAACTGATTTTTATAGAGGGCTTGATACAGGAAAGATTCTCAGGTGACTAATGTAGTGAAATTTATAATTACGTAACAGATCATAAGCACAGAACACAGTCTAATTTTCATGGTTAACAAAAAATGACTTGATACTATAGTTCCCTAAAAACACATAGGTTACAATGCTTTTTGAACCTTACTGAATTTCTGATTAAAATATCAGAGTCCTGATTTTCCCTGATTTTTTTTTTTTTTTCCCACAATGGATTGGATGTAGTGTTTTTAAGCAATATATTTAAAGAAGACATTCTGGATATTTACATATATGCAACAAGAAAGAGAATTTAGTTACTGCTTAGTAAGGAAGTGATTGAATGTTCTGATAGTTCCTGGTATCTTTTACGTAACTTGGATTAAGATCACTGTAATTGTCCATTAAAATAGTCGATATAATGTATATATTTTTACAGCCTAGATGTCCCTTAAAATGCTAGGCATGTGTTGCTCTTTAATTTGTACCTTGAGAATACCAGAGATTTCCCTTGAAAGTGTTGCTTGATTTTTAAAAAATGTTATTTCTTTGGCTCCTCAAAAATAATTTTTTTTCCTTATAGAGTGTTCCTGATTGTGTTTTATATTACTACTTAACCAAGAAAAATGAGAATTATAAAGCCCTAGTAAGAAGGAATTATGGAAAACGCAGAGGAAGAAACCAGGTGTGTTTCATTACTGTGTAGAAGATGTTTCAGGGTGGAGATATGGAGGGAAAAAAATGGTATAACCACGGCCTTGTATTTAATCATGTGTATTTTAGGGATTGACATTTCATTAAATAATGAGGATGTTACGAACATGTTATTATTTTGAAATTAATATATATTTAATGTGTTCATCATCTGTTGTGATTGTACTATAAGTTTATAGTATGATAAAGTCAATGAGAAAAGTTTTGTACTTCCATGTTATCTGAATTGTGCCCGTCAGCGTTAACAGTGATAACGTGAAGAATGGGACCCATGACACCTCATTTCATTCACTGCCTTAACAGTCCTTTTGTCTGAGGAGGGGTCAGGTAGAACACATGAGAAATATAGAGAAATGTAGTGTGGTAATGAGCGTAAAGGCTGATTTACCCAATTCCCGGGGCCTGATTTTGTTTCAGAGTAACTTCATTTCTGGAGTTTAGTTTTTACTCTGAAAAAGCCCTTGATCTTAAAAGACAGTTTTTAATACAGTGCAGCGTACGTTTTCACAGTTGCAGTTCAGTACATTAAAAACTGTTTCCCCCCCAATAACCGATCAGCAGCTGTCACAGCTCACGTGTGCTTTACCAGTGTGGCTGCTGGGACGACGTGAGCACCGTTGCTGTCCGCGCCCAGATTCATCTTGGGATTTGGAATCGCATGCATGAACTTGCACAGCTGGTCACTGCCGACCAGGCTTCCTAAATCTCTCCTGGTTTCCCCGCACAGCCACCCTTTCTTTCCTTAGCCACCCTGCTCACCAGATACACGCTGACCCAGGGCTTCATTATGGGTAGCCATGACCTGTTTGTGTTTCCGGGGTCATTGTTTCCTACAGAATACTACTGCCTCACAGGATGTGATTCTGTATTCTTCGGAAACGGTGTTTCTTGGTCAAAATGCAGGCAGTGTTTCATGTGCCAGCCGCGTGAAATGCTGCTAGAGGTGGAGAAAGCTGAGGTGCCCCAGGCGTGCATTTTCAGTGGATTGGTTAGGGGGCCAGAAATAAGATCGTAGTGAGTGGAAGGTGGATGTGGAAGGTGCGCTAGTGGCGGTAGTACAGGCGTGCCCTTGTCTGTAAGGTTTGCTTACCAAGGGGAACAGAGAGATGGGCGGAGAGCTGACGAGGATCAGGAGGGAGGAAAAGAGCGCACTTATTCGGTGATGGGGCTGCTACTGTAGACACAGCGAGGGATGCTTATGGAGCTCCGGGAGGAGTTCCTGCCTGACGGGGAGCAAATCAGATGTCAGTGAGGCGGCAAACACTGTTCCATTGGAGGTGCCGGGGCTTCCCACGGAGAAAGTGGAATCAAGCTCTTCTAGCTAGAGATGCTAGAGCACATCTGCGTTTTCAACAAGTTGCAGCTACAGATTTTTAACAATAGCTTTTGTTCCTTATTAAACTAGTATTTATAACTTTAATGGAACTTAATTTTTAGAAATGACATATTTTATATTTATACATTGTTTAAAATTTTCAGTCCCCGGTAATGTAAGGGGGAATAATTTGATATTTGTCATATCTTACATTTGCAGGATTAGCAGTCTGTTGCTTGTGATGATAGAGGAGAAAGCTCTAGCAGGAAATTCTGTGACAGAGAATGTCTCTGTTACTCTGAAACATTGGTTTTCTAGCCTAAAGTTATCTGGTACACCATCTCACTGTTTTGTGTGGCACACTCGTTCTTGTTAAGTTCCAGCCATATTCGAGTTTTCTTCTGCACATTCTTGTTCTACGTGCTCACACCTCTAGCACGTCCCAGAGTGCATTTAACGGAACTGAGATTGTCCCTGTGTGCTGTCACCTTGACCTGAACCTTTGTATGTCTGTCCCCAAGTTGGCTTAGGTTGGGGTTGGTCAGCCTTTCCATCAGTCTAGTCCTTCCCGCAGCAGCTTTTAAGTTATTACCTTGAAGATTTTTTTCTCTAGTTGTATATTTCTCTGATTGTTTCACTGGGAATTTGGGAGAGGAGGGGATTGAATGATGGAAATATTGCACTGTCTTAGACCAGAAGAATCTTATCTCTGTTTCTTAATTGCTTGTGTACTTCATTCTGTTTGTGTCAAAATAGGTGGATGGGTTTTCTGAAATTAGGTGGTGTTGGTTTAAGGGCTCATTTATATAGAACTGAATGACATTAGAACTGATACCAAACCAGAGGAGGAGCCACTGGACTTTTGAGCAGAATAGTATCAGATTTTCGTTGTGACAGGATCATTCTGCCTGCTCTGTTGAGACTAGATTGTAAGGGAGACCAGTTAGGAGGTTACGTTAATCCTCCCAGTGGCTTGGACTAGACTCTAGCGGGGATGGTGCAGAGGACCCGTCCGTTTCTGGATGTATTTTTGAAGGTAAGGTCAACAGGTTTTGCTGATGGATTGATTGTGGGGGATTCAAGGACAGTTATCAAAGAGAACTCAAGTTTTGGCTTATGGGATTGCCATTTACTGTGTAGGCATGACTGAGGGGGTGGCAGATTTGGGGGAAAAAGTTGGGACATGCTGAATTTCAGATACATATGTCCAAGTGGAGATGTAAAGGGGGCAGTTAGATGTAGAAGTCTGGAGTTTAGGAAACAGATCTGGGTTGGGAATGTAGAATTTGCTATATAGAAAAAAGTTTAGAAAGATTTTTTTTTTTTTAAAGAACTAGTTACAAGTAAAGAATTTCTAAATTGGTGTGTCTTGATTTTACCCTGGTAGATAATAGAGATCCAACTAATTTGAAAATCACTTTACTGCTCTATTATCCAATCAAGTTTGAATCAGGAGGAATTACCTTAGGTAATCCCAGAGCGATCAGGGCACATTTATTTCAAAACTCTGGCGAGTTCTGCTGAAGTTTATGCCTGATCCTTTCCATTTTTATTTGATTGCTTCACCCATCCTCCCCTCCCGACCTCTTACCCGTAGGAAGTCATTGTTATTTCAGCACATGAACGTATAGTGTGTGCTGTTTGCGGAGAGAGATTCCAAGCTTGAGAGGTTTGATTTTTAACCTGCTATTGCTATAGGGAACTTTGCATATTATTTTCTCTGAAAAGGAGTTTAACCTTAGAATCATAGGGAAGTGAGACAGATAATCATATTTTTGTTAGACTTGTGTTCAGAGATTATTGTTGGCAAAAGTAACTCAAAATTCTGTTAGATAATGTTGAAAACAGTTCGACTTACTAGCATCCCATGACGAGAGTGAGTGTGGTTCTTTATAAGTTTTAGTTAAAGCAATGAATATATTTCAAAGAGGAGAAGCCAAAAGCCACTCCTCAGTGTTACTGTGTGGGATCTAGAATTATAAGTAACATGCCAAGTAGTAATTTGATTCTCTGTGTAACATCTTTGTTAGAGGTAAATTCTTACCTTCCAGCATAAATTCCCATCTAATAAGTCTGTCACTATGCAGCTAGAATAAATGTGGACTGTGGTACCTGCTAGTGACCTACAATAAAGCAAGTCATTGTTTAGAAGCCACGTTCTTCATTTCCAAATACTTGATTCCCTTTCACAAGAATTTGTACTCTTCCTTCATTCTGACAACATCTTCCTCTTTAAATATGTCAGCATGTTTTTTATTCCCCAGAGGTATTGAGAAAGCATATACTTAGATAAATGTAGTAATGTTTGAAGTTGGGAAAGTTTCTGACTGAATTGTTAGACAATAGACAGACTGTTTCAGGCAGGTTTAAAAAGTTGGTTATAACAGAGCTTTAGACCCAAAAATGCTCTGCCTCTCTGTATCCATGTAAGCCTAGATGTGTCCCTTCACTTGCTGAGCCTTGGTTTCCACATCTGTGAGCATGGAAGCAGTAATATTACCTTGCAGGGTTAACATGAGAACTGCTTGTGTGTGTGAAGTCCCTGGAGTGTCGTATCTGGGACAAAAGGCGCGCCCAATAAATGGTAGAACTGTTGCCTTTGTCGCCTTCACGATGGTGTGTTGTGATTGACAGTTTTTACTCTTCAGGAAACTAGTCTCAGATTCAGTTCGTTTAAAGGCATTAGTTCTTAAATATGTTTTGATAGGATATTTTCTGTTTACTGCCTGAGATATTTAAAAAACTCAATGGCTAGGGGCACGTGGGTGGCTTAGCCACTTAAGGGGTCTGCTTTCAGTTCAGGTCATGATCCCGGGGTCCTGGGATCGAGCCCTGCATTAGGCTCCCTGCTCCATCGGGAGCCTGCTTCTCCCTCTGCCGCCCCCCCTCCCACTTGTGTTCTCTCTCTCTGTCAAATAAATAAATAAAACCTTTAAAAACAGACAACTCAGTGGCTAAAGTAGGACCTCATTCTTTTTGTCTCTTGTATGTTTTTAGTTCACTAGATGCTTGCTCTTAAATTTAGTCATTTTATTTCTTGGCAACTTCATCATCTACTGAGTGGGAATTCATTTATCTGTTTTCTAAAGACTCGAGCATGTTAACAAATACATATAGAGTATATATAAGTGTTAGATATTCGGTCAGATATAGTAGAAATAAATCTCAGCATAAACTGTCTTTGGATCTTGCTATAGAGGACTCTGTTGAAATTTCCTTGTTCTTCATTTATTGTTACAAAATACATAAAACGGGGTGCCTGGGTGGTTCAGTTGGTTGGGCATCTGCCTTCAGCTGGGGTCATGATCCCAGGGTCCTGGGATGGAGTCCCGCATTGGGCTCCCTGCTTAGCCAGAGCCTGCTTCTCCCTCTGCCTGCCGCTCCCCCTGCTTGTGCTCTCTCTGTGTCAAATAAATAAATAAGAATCTTAAAAAAAAAAAAAAAAAGAAAATACATAAAACGTTTCATTTTTTTTCATTTGCATTTTTATTTTCTTTTCTAATGTAGTCTCACTTTTATAGTGCATAGTTTGTTGTTCGGCAGACGTGTTTTATAAGATCCTCCCTAACAGAATGAAACTTTTTTTTTTTTTTGAAGATTGTATTTATTTATTTGACAGAGGAGAGACACAGTGAGAGAGGGAACACAAGCAGGGGGAGTGGGGGAGGGAGAAGCAGGCTTCCCGCCGAGCAGGGAGCCCGATGCGGGGCTCGATCCCAGGACCCTGGGACCATGACCTGAGCCGAAGGCAGACACTTAACAACTGAGCCACCCAGGCGCCCCAGAATGAAACTTTTTTTAATTGACTAAGAAGTACTAGGCTTAAGGAGGGAGAAACCTGGACAGGAAGCTGTTGGGGTGCCTCTGTCTATTAGGGGACCTTTGGATGACCTTCCTTTTGAAACTGCGGACTTCTATTCCAGCCAACCTACTGAAGGGTGTGAGGGCTGTAACTTATAACCTCCATCCCAGACCGTGGGGATTGGCACTTCCCTTTACAGATTTGCCTGAAACAAGCAGTTGGTGATCACTTTTTGGGAACATTGGAGGTTATTCCTTACGCTCTTTACTGCCCGTGGCAGGCGTTACAATGGCTCTCCATGCACATCACCCGAAGGTAGATGCTGGTTGCACCCTCTGGCCTGCCTGGCTCTCCCTCCCCACCCACTGCTGCCTGGTCAGTGTGGATACTGCTTTGACGGGGGCGGGGGGGGGGTGTGCTCTGCAGCTGTCACACACTTCTAGAGACTATCTAGCAACCCTGCCAGTTTCTTGGGATCGTGTCCACACCTTCTGCAGAATTGGGGCTTGTGCTTCCAAAGACATCCTGCCCTCACCTTCCCATTGCCTGGTTGAAGCAGGTGCTACCTCGCTTCTCAGTCCCTGGCACTAGGGAAGGGGGAGTAAAGTCAGCTGTTGGCTGGATTTCAGACAGCCGGAAATGTGTGGGATTGCTTAGTTTCTTCAGAACACTGGTTGGCATTAGAAATAGAAAAGTGTCAGGGAAACAAGTTATATGTGTCATCTAAGTCCAAGAGAACAGTGAAACTCTTAACTTCTCTTCTGCCAAGTTGATACCTCCCTGTCACTTAGGGCTATAAACCATTTTCTGGGTTTTACAGCCTACTTGCTAGGCAAAGGGCAGAGTTTATCGTTAGTATGCCATCTTGCTTGTGCAGAATGACTAATGGATGCTACATTTGTAGCAAGTGGATGGTTTGAGGATATTAGCATTTGAAACCAGTCTTGGGACCACTGTGGTGTCCTAGGGAGTCAGTCAAAGGTGAGTAAAACACCTCAGTTGTAAAGCAGACCGAGTCATGGTTGGAAAGTGTACATGTAAAAGTCTTCCTGATTTTTTATTTTTTGTCTAGTAATAATAAATACTCAAAAGGAAACTGGCAATTACCAGGGTGAGAAATTGGGGAAGTCAGGTAAAGCAAGTGAGGGAACCATGTTATTGACACGATTTAGTGAGGGGTCAAAGTGGAAGAGTAGATACAGCTTTTCCTGATGGACTGTGAAATTTCATAGAATAAAGGGACCAAGAATCATGATGGGGACAAATAGCAGGACCAACAACAATGAAAATGTTGGGTAATTGGGGCATGAGTGGTTGTTGTACAGGAGATTTTCTGATTTCAAGATCTTGGAGGTAGAGCAATGCCTCCCAGTGATGGCAATTGTGACTTCACCTTAGGGGAGTTTCATGAGCATGACCTCAAACTGTTCCAATTGTAGGATATTATGTTGATAGAAAAGGCATTGATACACATTTTAAAGTTGGAAGAATAATGGCAAGGCATAATGAGCCATGTGATAAAATCATTTATTTGTTCTTAGGAGTATCTGAGAAGTCAATCCATGACACCAGAAGAGGGGGGGAAAAAAAGGCATCATAGGTAGATTTTGTGAAATTTGAAAAAAGGAAATATTTTTAAAAATACTGCAGTTCAGCAATATTCTGGAAGTGGCAGTTGGGGGCAAGAAGGATACAGATTCTTTTTTATTTCCTTGTGGATTTTAAGAAAGCATAATATAGGACCTCTTGGAGAGGCCAGTAAGGTCTTTGTTATCTTAAGAAAAAAGCCAGATTTAGCAAGTAGGTGAAGACTTTGAGATGGTATTAAGAATTAAGGGAAATTTTATGTCAAATTAATGAGTGCTTCATGTTGTCTGGTGACAGAACACATAAGAGGACAGGCAGTTATTAGGAGACAAGATTGACATTGGCCTGGATGAGAGATTGAGGTGAGAGGACAAAACTTTTCAGATAAGCAGAATAAAGGAACTTGGTTCTGGCTGTATCCGGCTCATGCGGAGGCTTCTAAGGTCCAGATGTCTCCTAGGAACTTGGGATACTTAGATGATTAAGACTGGGTCCTTGTCCTTGAGGAGATTGTAACGCAGGGAGCCAGACAGACCCTGATAACCAGGTACGCGCCACCCCGTGGTAAGTGCCACAAGCAGATGTGGCCCGTGCAGGTGACAAGGTAGGGAGACAGAACCTGGAGCTTCTCTGTGGAAATCAAGGAATGCCTCACAGGATGTAGATTTTTGAACTGAATTTCAGAGGATATGTAGGAGTTTACTAGGCAAGGAGGGATAGATAGGGTGTTCCAGGCAAAGATGTGAAATGCTGGGTTTGTTTAGGTGAGTCCAGAGCAGCAACCAGTGTAGGAAGGGTGGGGGCTTGGAAGAGGCACACATGAGACGGGGGGCTGTGTCCTGTAATGCTGAGTGGCAGTTCCATCCTACTTAGGCTAGGTGGTCTTGATTTCTGCATTAAATAAAAATAATACTAACACAAACTTAATTTCACTTTTCTTTTAGAATCACAATTTTAGCAAAGATAAAAGGGTCCATAATCGTATTCTCTTGTCTTTGTTCATATTTTTAATTATAGAGTTGTAATCATAGCTTAGAAATATTTGAGTGTTTTACTTCTTTTTACTCTATTATCTCCTTACTATTTTTCCAGATTACTTTAGTCTTGATGATGACCATAGTTGTCTACTAGTCCATTACATGAATGTTCCTGCAGAAGAGTAAAAGCATAAAAGTGTTTCTTGTAGTATCCGTCCATAGTGATGAAAAAGTTGGAAGCATATTAGGTATCTAAAACTAGGGGTAAATTATACGTTATCAAATTTTGAGGTAGAATTGAAGTGCTTGAGTGACAGATTAGATGTGGGAGTTACAGAAACAGAGAGAACCAACTCAGAGTTCAGATTTCTAAGTGGAATCTTAACACTTTGACCTCTCTGATGGGTCCAGACCCTAGGAGCATTCCACGCGTACCTTTAAACAATACCTATGGAATATATTAAAGAGTATTAGACTAATTTTTAATACATTACCCCTAATTACATTGCAAGTGATCAATAAGGTAATTGTGTATTAATTTTTTTTGCAAAGGTATTTATTGTAATTTGTCATCACAGTTTGAGGAGCTGTTTCTTTTAACGTTGAATTTGACGAATGATGGTTCATTCTAGCAGCAAATTGCCCGACCCTCACAAGAAGAAAAAGTAGAAGAAAAAGAAGAAGATAAAGCAGAAAAAACAGAAAAAAAAGAAGAGGAAAAGAAAGATGAAGAAGAAAAAGATGAAAAGGAGGACTCTAAGTGAGTTGAATGATTAGATATCTTATTTAATCATGAACCTATTGACTCTCTCAAAGGTATAAAATTTTAGATAAAAGAATGAATGGGGGCGCCTGGGTGGCCCAGTTGGTTAAGCGACTGCCTTCGGCTCAGGTCATGATCCTGGAGTCCCGGGATCGAGTCCCGCATCGGGCTCCCTGCTCGGCGGGGAGTCTGCTTCTCCCTCTGACCCTCTCCCCTTTCATGCTTTCCATCTCTCATTGTCTCTCTCTCTCTGAAATAAATAAATAAAATTAAAAAAAAAATGAATGGGATGTATGCTTTGATCATCTCATGTGCTTTGACATAATTAAAGAACAGAATAGTCTGGTAAATACAACTTTTGGCTTAATGGACTTGTTTGCCAGACATGAGATGTTACTTTTCAGAAGGGATGATCTATAATAATATATACTCATCACTTGAGATATATTGAATATAACTTAATTTTTGACTTGGAAGTTACCTCCGGATCTTTTTTTTTTTTTTTTTAAGATTTTATTTATTTGACAGAGAGACACAGCGAGAGAGGGAACACAAGCAGGGGGAGTGGGAGAGGGAGAAGCAGGCTTCCTGCTGAGCAGGGAGCCCGATGTGGGGCTCGATCCCAGAACCTTGGGATCATGACCTGAGCCAAAGGCGTCTGCCTTTGGTTAATGCTTAACGACTGAGCCACCTAGGCGCCTCAGGATCTCTCTCTCTTTTTTTTTTTTTTTTCCCACTTTTGATACTTTACACTCATGTAAAAATGCTGATAAGTGGTTTTCTATAATACCTGATATTACAGTTTCATGGGTTTTATTTATCGTATAAAGTGGGGTTCCTGGTTTGTTTGTGGTTCTGTTGTTTGCCTGGTTAATAAAAGTAATTCTTGTTCACTATAGAAAATGAGGAAAAGGGAGCAAAATATTAACAAAATCAGCCTGTGATTCTGCCGCTCAGAGACAGCTCTTGTTGATGCCTTAGTGCACATACTGTGGTGGGGTGGTGGGGGGCGCTTAGCAGCTCAGTTGGTGGTTTTTCCACCAAGGATTGGCTCTCTTGAGGCATTATTTACACAATAAAATTCACCAATTTAGGTGTGTATTGAATATATGTTGACATATATATGCCCTGGTGTAACTCTTGCCACAGTTGTGACAGAGTGTTTACATCACTCCAGAAAGTTCCATATGCTCCTTTGCTGTAGGTTTTCCCACACTCCCCTGCCATCCCCAGCCTCTGGCGACTACTCATCTGTTTTGCCTTTTCTAGAATTTCATATACATGGATTTATGTAGTATGTAGTCTTCTGTGCATGGCCTCTTTTACTTTGCATAATGACGTTGAGATCCATGCAGATTGTTGCACGTATCAGTAGTTTGTTCTTTTTAATATTTATTGTGTTATTTCTGTAATCCCCTTGGAAATACTGAAGGTTTATCGGGTTTTGTGGCAACTACAGCCTGAATCACTTGGTATGGTTGTTAAAGAGTTGGATCCTCATGCCATTGCCATTCTAATTTTGTACTTTAGGAAGTAACTATTAAAAACAATTTTTTTTTTTTTTTTTTTTAGTTCAGGTAAAACATTTATACTCCCACGTGGTCAGTGGTTCTGCTCTTATGAAACTGCTATATCTTGTTTTTTTCTTTTTTCCTAAAATCTCTATTAACAAGCATTTATTAGTGATGTGAGCTAGCTCTTATGGAGAATGCAAAAGTACATAAGATATGTACTATTCCAAGGTGGTTTATGATCTAGTAGAGGAAAGCTAGGCAAGATGCAATTTCTATTTATGAAGAAGAAGAAAGCCCAGGAGAAATCAGCAGAACCAGTAAAGGATGTTGAGAAACTGAAAAGAGATTCAGGGTTACTTCTGTCTAGATAGTTTAGAGGACTTTATGCAGGAGCTAGTGGTTAATGTGTAAAGAATAGAGGGAACCACGCGAAGAGATGTGTTGCTATGAGAAATGACAGCATTATAATGGCTTTATTAGACTGGAACAGAGAGGGTGGCTGAGGAAGAGAAGTGGAAGGTGGATTGGGGTTAGATTAAGTACAACCTTAATGAAGCTAAAATAGTCTGTGTTGTGAGTTGTAGGTAGCAGTTTCAGTGGATGGAATGGTTTGTTTCCTTTTATTTTTTTAAGATTTATTTATTTATGTTCTTGGGGAGTGTGCATGCACAAGCATGTGTGAGTAGGGCGAGGGGCGGAAGGAGAGGGAAGGAATCTCAAGCAGACCCTGCTGAGCACGGAGCCTAGTGTGGGGCTTGATCTCAGAATCCTGAGATCATGACCTGAGCTGAAATCAAGAGTCAGACGCTTAACTGATGGAGCCACCCAGGTGCCCCTGGATGGAATGGTTTCTTACCAAAGCTATTCTACTAGAATATTGGCCCACGAGCAGCAGAGAATGGATGGATTGGAAATGCAAGTCAGGGAGGCTGTTACAAAAGAGTGGTTTAGGGTACTGAAGCCCTGACTAAGGACAGTGGTAGTAGAAATCGAGATGGTAGAATTAGTGGGAGCACTGTTATCGAGACGAAATAACCAAACCTTGGTGTGAGATCGTATATAGGAGGTAAAGGAAAAGGGGAAAAGCTAAAGATGATGCCAGATCTGTAAACGTGAATGAATATGATAACGGCGGAATTGTTAATGGTGTGTGATATGTACTGTTCCATGGAGGGAAGCAAGAGGCAGAGCACTGACAAGCATGGTTTTAGACATGTTGACTTTGTACCGATGGGGAATCCAGGTATATCGATAGGGATTTCCAGCAGGTATTTGGGAAGACAAGTCTGGGTCTTAGAAGATTTCGGCAATGGGAAGTGTGAGTCTAAAGACACAGACTGGGAGTCATCCCGGTGGAATGGATGTGAATGGGGCAACCTCACAGAGCTTTAAGGCCAGGGTGAGCCTTGGGAAATGTGATGTGAAAGGGTGAGAGGAAGAAGGCAGCCCCCAGAGGGAGAGCCAGAATAGCACTAGGGATATCAGGAAAGCATGAAGTCCTAAAAGTTGAGAAGGATGTAAAAAGAATTGTCCTTAGGATCAGTTGTAGCAGGAGGATCCGTGCAACAAGAATTGAGAAAAGGTCATCTGAACTTGCAGTTTGTGAGTCATTGGTGACTTTTTTTTTCCCCATTGGTGACTTTTGACAAAACATCTTTAAGATGAGACTGTAGTAGTAGCCAGATTGCTAAGGGAATAAAGAAGTGGAGAAAGAGGCCTGCATGGTAACTTCAGGGGCAGTTCAGGACCAAAGGGGGAAAATTCTTGAAGAATTTTTTTATTGGGGTAAGCTTGGTAAGCTACAACAGATCTTTGCTTGAAGTGTTGAAAAAAATCAACACCTCCCATTAAGCAAGAGCAGTTGAGTCTTTGAGTATTGCCACCTCTCCATTCATTTGCAGAAATGTACATTAGGGGCCTTGTTTTTAAATCTAACAATCCTGGGAGATACGTATAGAGAATAGGCCTCTAGTGTTACATGCAGTACTGTTGCTACTAATAGTAATGACCCTTTATTTATTGATGGGAGTTTTTCCTAAGTGGCTGAGGTAGGTTTAGTCTTAATAATAGCAAACTACATACATATGATGCTTACTGTGTTCCAGGCACAGTTCTGAGCATTTTATATAGATTAACTCTTTTAATCATTGCGACAGCTCTATGAAACATACTATTATTATTCTCCCTTATAGATGAGAAAAACAGAGGCTGTGGAGGGGAGGTCGCTTGTCCCAGGTCACATGGCTAGTAAATCACACAGCTCTGGTACCAACCTGGGCAGCCTGGCTCTAGACCGTTCTCCATTATAACCTCTGGGCCACACTGGCCTGTTTGCACATAATTGGTATTGGAGATGGTTGAGGATACTGAGCCTGGTTTAATGAAGCAGTATTGTAGATTATTACTATGGAAAGGGCATCTGTTTCAGCCTCTCATTGCACAGAGGAGAAAACTTACCTTGGAGCCAAGGCAAGAAATCCCAGACTCTTGCCTTTTGGTGTACCCCACTGCCTCTGGATTGCAGGTCTAGGGGCTTTTCTGCTGCCATCCTTTACTTCCTCGTAGGGTGTTCTCATACGTAGTAAGGTGATTTGAAACGTGTTTGAATTTTGAGTCCATTGAGGAACAAAACAGACCTTTGTGAAATATCTTAATTTGAGCCAGTCAAAACCCTTTAAAATTGGGGCATGACAGCATTTTTCATAAATTTCAGTAACTTGAGAGACTGGGTAGTCTTATTTAATTTCTATTAAAAAAAAAAATCCAAGCCTCAACTTTCTTAGATGCACGTATACTTCCAAATCACACAAACTTTTCGTCTGTTTCTGTTTCCAGAGAAAATGCCAAGGAAAAGGACAAGACGGAAGGTACAGCAGAGGAAACGGAGGAGAGAGAGCAGGCCACACCCCGGGGACGAAAGACCGCCAACAGTCAGGGCCGCAGAAAGGGCCGCATCACCCGGTCCATGACCAACGAAGCGGCGGCGGCCAGCGCTGCGGCCGCTGCGGCCACTGAGGAGCCCCCGCCGCCTCTGCCACCCCCACCAGAACCCAGTGAGTGCGCAAGATGGGAGCAAACAGGCCGGGATTTTGTGCGGGGCTCTCTTGTAGAGCAGGGGGGGTCCTCCGATATCGACGACCTACAAATAGTCTGGAAGGCTGCCTTTACTTTTTTTTTTTTTTTTTTGAGGTTTTATTGTAATCACCCGGTGCTCATCTTGAGAAGTACACTCCTTAATCCCCATCGCCCTTTTCACTCATATCTACACCTCCCCTCGCCCCCCACCCTGCAGCTCTCTTCTGGTGAGCTTGTTTGTTTTCTATAGTTCAGAGTCTGTTTCTTGGTTTATTTCTCTCTCTCTTCCCCACCCACCCCGTTGCTTATTTGCTTTGTTTCTGAAATTCCATATATGAATGAGATATGGTATTTATCTTTCTCTGACTTATTGCACTCAGTATTATACTCTCTAGCTCCATCCATGTCATTGCAAATGGCAAGATTTCCTTCTTTTTTAGTGGCTGAATAATATTCCATGGTGTATGTATGTGTATGTGTGTATGTGTGTGTATCTACATGCCACATCTTCTTTATCCATTCATCAGTTAAGAAACACTTGGGCCGCTTCTGTATCTTGGCTGTTGTAAGTAATGCTCCTATAAACATAGGGATGCATGTATCACTTTGAATTAGTGTTTTTGTATTCTTTGGGTAAATACCCAGTAGTGTGATTGCTGGATCATATGGCAATTTTTGTTTTTTGTTTTTTTTTTTTTAATTTTATTTACTCATTTGGGAGAGAGAGAGAGAGAGACCACAAGCAGGGGGAGAGGCAGAGGCAGAGGGAGAGGGAGAGGGAGAAGCAGACTCCCAGCTGAGCTGGGAGACCAACATGGGGCTCAATCCCAGGACCCAGAGATCATGACCTGAGCTGAAGGCAGATGCCTAACCCTCTGAGCCACCCAGGCGCCCTGGGTGGCAGTTGTATTTTTAATTTTGAGGAACCTCCAGACTGTTTTCCATAGTGGCTGTACCAGTTTGCATACCCACCAACAGTGCAAGAGGGTTCCTTTTTCTCCACATCCTTGCCAGCACCTGTTGTTTTTTGTGCTGTTGATTTTAGCCATTCTGATAGGTGTGAGGTGGTATCTCATTGTGGTTTTGATTTGCATTTCCCTGATGATGAGTGATGCTGAGCATCTTTTCATGGGTCTTTTGGCCATCTGTATGTCTTTGGAGAAATGTCTGTTTGTGTCTTCTGCCCATTTTTTAATTGGATTATTTGTTCTGTGGGTGTTGAATTTTATAAGTTCTTTATATATTTTGGATACTAACCCTTTATCAGATATGTCATTTGGAAATATCTTCTCCCATTTCGTAGGTTGCCTTTTAGTTTTGTTGTTTCCTTTGCTGTGCAGAAGCTTTTTATTTTATTGATTTATTTATTTTTAAATTTTATTTACTTTTTTTTTTTAGAGAGGGACGGGTAGGGGAAGAGACAGAATCCCAAGCAGGCTCCACACCAAGCACAGAACCTGACGCGGGACTCTATCTCACGACCCTGAGATTATGAATGAGCCGAAATCAAGAGCTGGATGCTTAACTGACTGGGAGCCACACAGGCCTCCCAGAAGCTTTTTATTTTGATGTAGTCCCAATAGTTGATTTTTGCTTTTGTTTCCCTTGACTCAGGGGACCTATCTAGAAAAAAGTTGCTACGGCCAGCGTCAGAGAAATTACTGCCTGTGTTCTATTCTAGGATTTTTATGGTTTCAGATCTCACATTTAGGTCTTTAATCCATTTTGAATTTATTTTTGTGTATGGTGTAAGAAAGTGGCCAAGTTTCATTCTTTTGTATGTTGCTGTCTGGTTTTCCCAGCGCCATTTGTTGAAGAGACTTTCTCCCATTGGGTATTCTTCCCTGTCTTATCGAAAGATTAGTTGATGGTATAATTGTGGGTTTGTCTCTGGGTTTTCTCTTCTGTTCCAGTGATCTACGTGTCTGTATTTGTGCCAGAACCATAGTGTTTTGATGACTCCAACTTTGTAATATGACTTGAAGTCCAGAATTGTGATGCCTCCAGCTTTGCTTTTCTTTCTCAAGATTGCTTTGGTGATTCGGGGTCTTTTGTGGTTCCATACAAATTTTAGGATTATTTGTTCTAGTTCTATGAAAACTGCTGTTGGCGTTTTGATAGGGATTGCACTGAATGGGTGGATTGCTTTGGATAGTGTAGACATTTTAACAATATTTGTTCTCCCAATCCACTAGCATGGAATGTCTCTCCATTTCTTTGTGTTGTCTTGAATTTCTTTTGTCAGTGTTTTATAGTTTTCCGAGTACAGGCATTTCACCTCTTTGGTAGGTTTATTCCTAGGTGTCTTATTATTTTGGGTGCAATTGTAAATGGGATTGTATTCTTTTTTTTTTAAGATTTTATTTATTTATTTGACAGAGAGAGACACAGCGAGAGAGGGAACACAAGCAGGGGGAGTGGGAGAGGGAGAAGCAGGCTTCCCGCAGAGCAGGGAACGCGATGCGGGGCTCAATCCCAGGACGCTGGGATCATGACCTGAGCCGAAGGCAGACGCTTAACGACTGAGCCATCCAGGAGCCCCTGGGATTGTATTCTTATTTTCTCTTTCTGCTGCTTCATTATTGGTGTGTAGAAATGTAACAGATTTCCTTACATTGATTTTGTATCCTGTGACTTTACTGAATTTGTTTATCAGTTCTAGCAGTCTTTTATGTTTTCTGTATGTATAACATGTCATCTGCAAGTAGTGCAAGTTTTACTTCTTCAGTGCCTTTACGTTTTTTAAACTTTAATATCAGTGTCTTTTGAAAAAGATCTGCCCCAATCTTGCTATCTTAATATAGCTGTTTTTCTTTTTACTTAGTTGTAATTTTAGTGTGTATGCTTTTTCTGATGTTTTAACTTGACATATATTATAAATATTATGTAGTCTAAGTGATCTTCATTTTTGCTTTTTGATGGCTGTGAAGTGTTGGCATCATGTTCCCTGAGGCCCAATTTCTTGAACCATTCCCTGTTGCTGAATGATTAGGCTGTCCCCTGCCCCCTTATCTTTAAACTAATAGATATAGCTATTTTATTTACTTTTTAAAGTAAAAAAAAAAAACAGATCTTGATTCACAGAACATTTTCTTTCTGTTAAATTATTTTTTATAGGAATAAATTCTTGGGTCCAAGCATTTTTCTGTCTTTTACTAAGTACAGTCTCATTAGTTTATAAAGGGATCATGTTAATAATGCTTACCATCGTTGGTTCAGTGGTACCAATTTTACTATAACATGAAGCATAAAGAAACCAGGTTCTGGGGATGGCAAGGAAGGATGTAAGGAAAAGAACTAGGTAAACAAATGGGGGCAGATCATGACGGACCTTGTTTGAGTTATATCCTGCTTTGCTTACAAAGTGGGAGCTCACAGGGGTTTTTAAATAGAGGAATGCTGTACATAGATTGATGTTTTAGAAAGCTACCTAGTGACAGTTGTGGAGGTCAGGTTGGAGAGAGTAAAGGGGCTGGAGGCAGAGGAACCAGCCAGAGGGGCGTCACTATGTACACAGTGGCTCAGGCAAGGAGAGGATGATTCGGGAGATTAGAACTGACACACATCATGGGATGTGAGTACGAAGTGGGAGGAAGGATTAACAAATCGGTCTGAGGGGGTTGTTAATAATTCAAGTGACTGGACAGATGATGGTACTATTAATTGAGAAGGGGAATATGGCAGGAGCTCATTTCATGTCTGATAGTCTTACTTTCCTTTCTGATGTAGAAGGGAGAATGTGCAGTTTGTGGTCCATCTGTGTTTACTAGGTTTCATAGGGCCTCCAGGAGTGAGGACGAGATGGGGGATTCAGAGAGCAGGAGAGAACTGTGCCTGGACAGGAAGGGGGACTGTTGTTTCTTCCTTTGACACTTCAGGAGAGGGGGAATGGGGCTGGAATAGTGGGAAGGCAGTGGGTGAGGTGGGACTTCACAGGAAATAAAACAAACGTGTAGACATGGGTGGAACTTCAAAGAACATTGAGAAAGATCCTAACGGAGAAGCCTTGACTATTCCCCTTTAGTTGGTGGGGAGAGCCTGCCACCATCCCGTGTCCATAGTTTCCTTCACCTAATGCTTCAGACAGGCTTTATGTCAGACAGGCAGGTCAGTGCCGTCTCATCTGTGAGTGAACTTAAGTTTTCTCTGCCTTACTGAGGTCTCTCTCTTTATTTCAGTTTCTACAGAGCCTGTAGAAACCTCTCGATGGACAGAAGAAGAAATGGAAGTCGCTAAAAAAGGTAAGTTATAGTTCTTTAGGTTCTTCAGGGTTATTAATAAGTCAGATGGAATGAATTTTTTTTAATTGAAAAAAGGAAATTCTTCTGCGATGGTAAATAGAATTTAGAGGTAGACTCGAGTTCTTTATGATGGGGTGGTGCCCTCTCAGGTAACCCTGCTGTGCCTTGCTTAAGAGGCCCAATTTTGAGGGATTTAAGATTCTCTGCATGGTTTTATTTATTTTATTTTTTTTAAAGATTTTATTCATTTATTTGACAGAGAGAGAGAGAGAGAGAGAGAGAGCACATGCACAAGCAGGGGGAGTGGCAGGCAGACGGAGAAGCAGGCTCCCCGCAGAGCAGGGGGAGCCCGATGCAGGACTCGATCCCAGGACCCTGGGATCATGACCTGAGCTGAAGGCAGTTGCTTAACCAACTGAGCCACCCAGGCGCCCTGCACAGTTTTATTTTGAATGTCATTTTGTTGGAGAGCAAGTGGACTATTCTCACTTTTCCAGAATAGCTGTGATTCAGTGTTTTGGAGGGTATTTTAATATGAAGAGTCTATATTTTCTGTTATTTAAAAGTTGGATTTAATAGGGTGGTACATATCTCCTCAGTTTGTATTTGTAAGGCATTTGGTTATAAACTAATAAGAAAGTGCACCGCGATTCAGAGGACAGGGCATGAACTTTGGAGCCAGACAGAGGTTTGAATTTTGTCTCTCCCACTCATTGCCCTGATCTTATTTTGGAATATTATGAATCTTGTGTTTTTCTGTTGTTGCTTGTTAAGATAGTATAATTTGAAATTGAAGTAGAATTTCTAATAGGATAAATAATTGGTTTATAAATGAACAATAGTTTTTGTTTTAAATAAAATAATTTTGAGAAAGATTAGCCAACCCTTTTTGGAGTTAAGTATTTACCTTACAATTATAAACAGAAATTATTGTAAATAAGTTGACTTCTTAGTGACACATTTCAGATTTATTTTCTATTTAATAGGTAATGAATGATACATTTAAGAATCATATAAACCAACTTTACCAAAAATAAAGCAGTTTAATGTGTTCTGTGCTCACAATATTTTTATTTGACGTTTATTTGTCATGATTAGCAAATTCGTGACTTGTCATGATTACATGTATAACTTTTTAAAAGATTCACATTTTTGGGTGCCTGGGTGACTCAGTCGTTAAGCGTCTGCCTTCAGCTCAGGTCATGACCGGGGTCCTGGGATCGAGCCCCACATCCAGCTCCCTGCTCCGCGGGAACCGTACTTCTCCCTCTCCCACTTCCCCGCGGGAACCGTACTTCTCCCTCTCCCACTTCCCCTGCTTGTGTTCCCTCTCTCACTGTGTCTCTCTCTGTCAAATAAATAAATAAAATCTTAAAAAAAAAAAGATTCACATTTTTTAAAAAAAGAAAAAAAAGATTGACTAATTTATTCTCATCTGTTATCAGAATGTCAGTGGAGTAAGTAGATATTAGCTACATCATAGAGCAATCTTTTTCAGGTAGATACACCTCCATAGGACTCTTCTCAGCTCTGTTCATGTATCGGAAGGATTTGGAAGTGAACTTCCAGTTGTCATTATTAAGGAAGCTACTCGCATTAACCTTGAAAAAGTGATGTTTTTCTATAAATTGTTAAATTTGTACTGGAAATTCATGCTTGGATACACCTGTATCTAAGTATATCCCTGTCTGTATAGCTCTCTGTGTATACGTGCATTTATATACCCATATTCCTTGTACATAGGTATGTGTATGTACATACATTATTTGGTTAAAAAGTGTCAGGTTGCATAGATTTCTGTAATGCATTGTATTACCACAGGTTTGTTGTTGCTGTTTTTAAAACTGGTTAATTTTTTTGAGGGCATTTCTTGATTGTGAATGGATTGAAGACATGCTGATTATAAATATAATCATGTATATCTTTATTTTGTGTTAATTATTTATAAGATTACCTTATTAACTTTATATTGATACACTGTTTCCAAAGACTTAGAAGTATCTCATCACTCAGTTTATAAGTTGTTTGAGTTGTTACTGTGTGTCTGACGTCCTAGCTCTCTGGGAGATACATAACAAGGGTGAAGTCGAGCCCTTCCATTAATGACATGTTTTAAATTTGGGTGGCAAGATAGAGCCGTCATTGAATTTCGTGTCAATACATATTTAAGTATGTATTAAAATATATCAATAAATAATTGAAATCACATTTTTACTGTTAATGATTTTGAAGACTGTAATTAAGTTGATTTTATTATTTCTCTTGTTTGCTTTATCAGGTGATTGTTCAGTTAATCTTTGGTCTGTTTTTCAAATACAGGTCTTGTAGAACATGGTCGTAACTGGGCAGCGATTGCCAAAATGGTGGGGACTAAAAGTGAAGCACAGTGCAAAAACTTCTATTTTAACTATAAAAGGCGACATAATCTTGACAACCTTTTGCAACAGCATAAACAGAAAGTGAGTATATCAGAGGTGGTGAATATTTATTTATTTATTTATTTATTTTTAACTGATTTAGTTTTTAACCAATAGTTTTTTGTTTCGTTTTGTTTTTGAGCTTCAAATACTGGCTTTGAGAGAAAGTTTTTTGTATCCTGTATTTTTATTTATTACATTTACCTGTGAGGGATATGCTAGTTTCTCTGCACAAGTTGACTTTTTCTCTGATGACTGCCCAAGGAACAAAATTCCTGTCAGTAGGAATGGCAGTTCAGTACTTTTGAATTACGATAGATGGGATTTGAAAAATGTAAACATTTTAGAGTTTGAATTGAAAAGTTTAGTTGGAGTTCTGTTGACCTTGTTGAATGAATCGATATGGCATATTAAAACCATTTTCTCAGAAAGAAAGAGTCCCTGAGATAAATAGTAAAATCAGAAAGTGTAAATTATTGAAAATTCCTTAACGAGGAAGTTCCAATGCTCTCAAAGTCTACAGAGCTCTTTGAGGATTCCATGAGGCCAGAACTGTTTTTGTAACAATACTAAGATGTTACTTACTTTTTTCCACTGCGTTAGATTTGCATGGACAGTGTCCAAGGAGCTGTGAGAGAAAATGTTGGTGCCTTAGCATGAATCATGGCAGGGCACCACTGTGCTAAATACTCAGTGTATTCTTCATCTCCAGGCATTTGCAGTTTAACAACAAATATGCCAATTTCACTTGTCCTTGGCGAAGCAATAAAAATTAGCTTTATTAAAAATCTTGACCCTTGAGTCCATGTGTATGATGAAATGAGAAGTGTGCATAAAGCCCTTCTGCTCCATACCAGAGTATGCTGGTTCTGTCGAGGGAAAGGACTTTTGCAATTGTTTGAGTTCCAAGCTGAACTAGCCTCCCTTTTTTTAATGGAGTTTCAGTTTTAATTGGAAAAATGACAGAAAAACTATGGTTTTTCAGACTTGGATCCTTGGCAGACATTTTCTTGAAAATGAGCGAGACTGTCTTTCAAAGAAAGCAAGCAGAAGTATTTGTTGCCACTTTTAAACTTCGAGCTTTTAAGCAAAAATGGAAACTTTGTCTTCCTCACCATAAGCTTAATATCTTCCTAATACTCAAAGACTTTTCTGATGAGATCAGTGACAGTAATAACTAATATGATATTTTGACATACAGTGAAATGTATGCAGATTTGAAAAATCTGTGTAACTCCATAATTTCCAGATGACCAATTTGTGATGTCACAGTGGATGTCATGTATGGATAAAAGATGTGCAGAATATTTTTTATCTTTAATTTTTTTTTAGACTTTATTTGAGAGAGAGAGAGTTAGTGAGAGCAGGAACACAAGCAGGGGGAGGGGGAGAGGGAGAAGCAGGCTTCCCCTGATATGGGGCTCGATCCCAGGACCCTGGGATCATGACCTGAGTTGCAAACAGACTTCTTAACGACTGAGCCACCCAGGTGCCCCAAAAAACTACTTTTTTACTGAATTATCCATTTGTTTTAGAATGTAGTTACTTTGTATTAAAAGTATTTTTTATGTTGACATGTAATGGGTTTATTGTTATTTTTAAATGAATTAATAAATATTTTAAATATTTTTGCTTTAATTCCAATATAGTAAGTATCATTATATATATCTCATGAATAGAACCTCCTTAGGGTCTTGAATACTTTAAGAGTACTGTATCCTTAGACCAAAAAATTTTGAGACTCATTGAAGAATGATAGAATGGGTAATAAAAGGGTAGATATTTAAATTTGTTAGGGTTTGGGGGCGCCTGGGTGGCTCAGTTGGTTAAGCGACTGCCTTCGGCTCAGGTCATGATCCTGGAGTCCCGGGATCGAGTCCCACATCGGGCTCCCTGCTCAGCGGGGAGTCTGCTTCTCCCTCTGACCCTCTTCCCTCTCGTGCTCTCTATCTCTCATTCTCTCTCTCTCAAATAAATAAAAATAAAAATCTTAAAAAAAATAAAAGCTTTAAAAAAAAATAAATTTGTTAGGGTTTGGACTTTTAGTAAATATGAGTATATGAAATATAACATTGACTGATTTTAAAAGTTATATACAGAAGACCTTTTAATGTTAAAAATGAAGATATAAAGGTTAAAAATGTGTTGTAGAAACTAAAACAAAGGGAAGAAAGTAATAAAAGCTCTTCTGACAAGAGAGACTTGACTTCATCAAATACCACTTACAATGTTTGGGGGAAAAAATCAAGTAAAGAATAAATCAGACTTTTTTTTTTTTTTTAAGATTTTATTTATTTGACAGAGAAAGACACAGCGAGAGAGGGAACACAAGCAGGGTGAGTGGGAGAGGGAGAAGCAGGCTTCCCGTGGAGAAGGGAGCCCAATGTGGGGCTCGATCCCAGGATCCCGGGATCATGACCTGAGCTGAAGGCAGACGCTTAACGACTAAGCCACCCAGGTGCCCCAAAATCAGACATGTTTTTAAAAGATAAGTCAGAGTTCTCCAGAGAAACAAAACCAACGGGGGGGGGGGGGGTGTGTAGAGAGAGAATATGAGCGAGTGATTTATTTTGAGAAATTGGCTCCTGTAACTGTGGACACTTGCATCTGACGGTGCAGGATGGCAGGCTGGAGACTTAGGGAAGAGTTGCAGCTGGAGTCCAAAGGCGATCTGCTGGCAGACTCCCTTCTTGCTGGGGGTATGAGGGGTGGAGGGGGAGAGCCAGGAGCCATCAGTCTTGGTTCTATTAAGGCCATCAGTTGGGTGAAGCCCCCCTACCCCCTCCACATTCCGGAGGGTCATCTGCTTTGCTCAGAAGTCCACTGGTTGAATTGTTAATCTCACCTAAAAAACACCTGCAGAGAAACATCCAGGATAATGTTTGACCAAATGTCTGTGTGCTGTGGCCCAGCCAAGATGACACATAAAATTAACCATCACCAATGTCTTTAAAACTTCTTGTTAGGGACAGCAGACTTCGGGAGGTTTTTTTGTTTTTGTTTTTTCTTTTTGAGTGTTTTATCATTTTCAAAAAGGTTTCAAGAAAATGTGACAAAATGTCTAATATCTATTAAAACGGAGTGCAAGATAAAGAGGTGTTACATTTCCATAGGTTTGAATTATTACATTAAATATTAGTGAGTACTATCATACAGTGAAGAAAATGCTTGGAGAAGTAGTAGATGATTGCATGTGAACAGAGGAATGTCACATGGTGGTGGTGAAACATTGTCTTTTGTATATTCATCGGTGGAAATACCAAACAGCACGGGTGGATATTGGCAAAGGAGGGATACAGCCTCGACACTGGAAAAATCCCTATATGAGCTACTATTTAATTCCAAAAAATATTGCAGCCTTCATGCAGTCTTCCTAAAGCTTTTTAAAGAGTGTGGCCAGAGGATTCTCTCCCCTTGCATTCCTGTGAGGAATGTAGTGATGAATTTTTTCTGGCCTCAGAATTACACCTAGTTCTATGACGGACACTGGGACGTGATTTTTTTTTCCTCTTGACTTAGTTACTGCTTTAGGTTGGATCCTAACACATAATTAACAGTTGGGGTAGCAATAATTTATTTTCCTCTGTGAGGAGTGTCCCCGGGGGAGGCCTGTAACTAAAGTCTGCTGAGTACAGGCTCGGGAAGAGGCGGAGAACAGAGCAGATGCCAGGGCTGGGATCTTCGGGTCTGCAAAGACAGGAGATCTTACGTTTCATAATTAGCAACATGAGATTAAAAATATAATAAATAGCTGATGTCTGACACTTAAATATATGCACATACGCTCCTGCAGATGTGTGATCCCAGTAGAAGAATGAGCAGTTTTATGTAAACACATTATTTGCGGAAGGAAAAATCCTGTTAAAGGAAAAGGGAATATGTTCTCATGAATAGTAAAAGAAATTCAGTAAAAGTAGTAGTAAAAGAAAATAGTAGATAGTAATAGTAGTAATAGTAAATAGTAAACAGTAATAGAAAATAGTAAAAGAAATCCAGTGGTGGTTGGTGACACCAGTGATCAGTTGTTGCTTATGAAATCACATAATTCTTAATGTTAGGGAAGGGAGGTTATTGCAGCATTATTAGTGCAGAACATTAAAATTGACTAAATACCTTAAAATAGGAGAATTTTAAATATCTATTGGTATGGAGTGTTTTCATGGAACCATTAATATAGTAATTTTAAAGAATTTATAATGTAAAGGTATGTTCATTTCATGATTAAGGTTAAAAAAAGTAGGATAGGTAACTACATTGGACAGTCCTAGTTTTATTTACATGTACTAGACATAAACATACGTATACGCATATAAAAGACTGAAAGGAAATGTATCAGCATAGTTAGAATCTCTAGCTGCTGCAGTTATGAGCCATTACTGTTTTTTCTTAGCAATTTTCTGTGTCTCCACAGTCCAATGAATATCTTATTTTTAATAGAAAACAAAGGCATATGTTATTTTTATTAGAAAAATACATTATTTGGAGAGGAAGAATAGCAGGAGTTTTGTGATTTTTGGCTCTTTGTACATGTATGGTGGCAAGCAGTTTGAAAAATGGTCCAAATGTAACTTTTGATCAGTTTGATGAGAGCACTCCATCCACACAAAAGGCCAGTTAGTGGTTCCCTAGAGGCAACCGAATATTTACCAGAACAGTTGTCAGACAGGCAGCCTTCTTGTTAAATATGTGTGTATCAGTGTTCTGTGTTATTTCAGATCTGAGAATATTCCTTTGTTTTCTTTGAGCTATTTAAATCATGAGTAATTTAATTCAACACTCTTTTACTCCTTCAGACTTCACGGAAGCCCCGTGAAGAGCGAGACGTGTCCCAGTGTGAAAGTGTAGCTTCCACTGTTTCTGCTCAGGAGGATGAAGATATTGAAGCTTCTAATGAAGAAGAAAATCCAGAAGACAGTGAAGGTATCTTAAAATCTTAAATTTAGTTGTGACTTCCACTAGTTCAAATATGTAATTACTAGCTTAGTCATTTTATTTAAGAATTGCTTCATTAAGGAAACAGTTCATTCACTGTTTTCATAGAGACCTTAAACTTGAGCACAATGTATTTATTCATTCGGTCAACAAATACGTATGTAGCACCTGTGATGGTCCAGTTGGTACAACCAGAAGATCTTTAAAATGGCAGTTCAGGGGCGCCTGGGTGGCTCAGTCGGTTAAGCGGCAGACACTTGATTTCGGCTCAGGTCATGATCTCGGTGTCATGAGATCGAGCCCCACATCGAGCCCTGCACTGAGCATGGAGCCTCCTTAAGATTCTCTCTCTCCTTCTGCCCTTCCCTCCCCCCCCCCCCCCCCCCCCCCCCCCCGCTCGCTCCCTCTCAAATAAATAAAATCTTAAAGTCAAATCAGATGTCAGTCCGGCATCAGTAAGCTGTCTGTGCATCAATATCACTGCCACCTTTTATGTGTCCAGTTAGTATCATTGATTACGTTTCTGTCTTTATTGCAATGACTTCGATTTATTTCAGTTTTTACAATGACTCACACATGTCACACTTATGTTTTCATGTAAAAGTTAATGACGCTAGAAGCCCCGTAGAAAAGAATGTCAACCCAAGAAACTTAAGAACAGAAATAAAATCCTTTTTGTCACTTGAACAAATTAATGACCGCTTTCCGAAAAAGTAAATTTTTTCTTGAGTTTTTGCTAATTAAAAATTCCTAATTTATTTCAATCACATTACTGTTAAAGTTTCTGAAGATTTCTTTTGTGAATTGACTGCTTATGAAGTGGGAATTTTCAGTGATTTTAGTAGCTCTTTATATATAATATCTTACACATGTTCATGCTTTGTATATACATATTTTCTCCATCCCATTCACTTTTTGTTTTATTTTTAAATTACCAGAGTTTAAGTTTTGTATGTAATTAGAGCTGCTTAAGTACGTTCCTTTGAAGGCGCTCATATTTTAAGCTTAGGAAATTCTATACCTTCCAGGAGTTTCAGAAATATTAGATTTCGTTTTATTTTTTTCTGCAAGTTGTTGTTGGCTTTGAAAGTTTAATTTTGTTTTGAATGGGTTTTGGCTTTCAACATCAGGTAGCTTTTTTTCTGTGAGGTTTTGTGGAAAATGAGGCCCGTGTGGCAGGAATGAAGAGAATACTGGAGCAGAAGAGTTTTGGTAAGACTTGGCTTTTAAAAAGCTCCCTCTGGTGTTGTTGAGACTGGTCTGAGGTGGAAGATAGGAAGAGTTGTTTCTGGACTACAGGGGCAGTCGAGCAATTGAACACAAGTGGATGTTCAAGGGATATTTTTAGAGAGAAAATCTATGATATTTATCTATGTAGGATATGGGGATAAATGAGAGGAGAATTAAAAGATTACTCCTTAAAAGGTTTCTGGTTTAATTAGACAGTAAACACTAGAAAAGTACCTGATTTGGATGTGTTGAGTCCCCAGACTTCGTCTAGTGCAGGAAATACTGAATTTGTGATTCCTTTGAAATATCTAGGTAAAGATGTCAGAGATTAAAACCATATTTATAAAGTGAAACCAGGGATGTGGGGAAAGACCAGGGTTACAGTGTTAAATTAAAAGTCCATGTAATGTTACTCTAGAATTTTCCTGTCTAGTGTGTGGTACTCACTAGATACATGTGGCTATTGAGCTCCTGAAATGTGACTAGTCCAAATTGAGATGGGCTGAACATGTAAAATGTAATCAGATTTTGAAGACTTAATACCAAAAAAAGGTAAAAATGTTATTACTAGTTTTCTATATCACTATATTTCCACATGATTACATGTTAAAAAGATAGTATTTCAGACCTACTGGGTGAAATAAAATATGTTGTTAATTTATCTCTTTTTACTTTTTTAATGTGGCCACCGGAAAAATTAAAATTTTAAGCAGATGTAACTCATATTATGTTCCTATTGGATGGTGCTGTTCTAGACTGTCAGGCTTCCTGGGTCAAAGGAAAAGTGCAGCCGCAGGCTGGTAGAAATAAACCAAATACCATTTATGGGAATGGTTTCTTGTTTAGTTTTGGTTTTCATCTGTCTTCATTTTTCAAATTTCATATAAATTTTATTTATTTACTTATTTATTTATTTTTATTTATTTAAAAAATATGTTTAAGAGTTCTTAGTTGCTCAGTTACTCTCTACACCCAGTGTGGGGCTCGAACTCACACGACCCCGAGATGAGTCGCACACGCCACTGACCAAGCCAGCTGGGCGCCCCTCATACGAATTATTTTTAGATAGTAAAAGCTTTTACGCTTTCCGTTTCAGAAGGTGAGGATCATTTGACCTCTCCCTTTCATGCTCTGGGAACAAACACTCTAGTTTCCCAGTGGCCATAAGACTTCACTGAGGCCATCCGAGGAGTATCATTCGTCCCAAACAACTACTTTCAAGCATGGCTCTGTCACCACCTGAAACATGTTCATTATCAGATTTTTATGCCGTATCATTATCTTTAAGGTGCTGAAAATAGTTCTGATACAGAAAGTGCTCCTTCTCCTTCACCAGTTGAAGCTGTCAAGCCCAACGAGGATAGCACTGACAATGCGACTTCTCGAGGAAACGCAGCGCCTGGGGCTGAGCTCGAACCCAGCACAGAACCTGTACCCTGTGCATCTCCCTCCTCAGCAGTGCAAAGTGCAAAACCAGTCGAAAGTGAAAGTGTGGAGACACAGGCGAATGACAGCATTGCGGTGGAGGCAGAGCCGATGGACGTCGAACGGCAGGAGCACGGTGCTGAAGTGACTTCTGTTCTTGACCTCCCCACGCCTGCCAAATCAGACTCTGTAGACGTTGAGATGGGGGCGCCGGAAAGCAATCCATCCAGAGTCGAAGGTGATACCAAAGAAGGAGACCTGGAGAGAGCCAGCACGAAGACAGAGCCTAGAGATGAGGACATGGTGGTGGCCCAGCAGATAGGCGCCCAGAGGCCCGAGCCCCAGTCAGACAATGACTCTAGTGCCACCTGCAGTGCGGATGAAGATGTGGATGGAGAGCCCGAGAGGCAGAGGTGAGACTCGCTCCTCTGATCCTCTCCTGTTCTTTGCTCTGTTGGAGGCTGACTGAGTCACAGGACGGTGCTGGCTGCAGGGATTATTCCTGTACGAATATCGGCAGCTTAGAGGTAGTCCGCATGCTTTTAATATTGGGTTATGATGCTGTTCATCTGTTTCAATAACCAAGAACAGTTGTGTGATCATGAGTTTCCAATGAAAAAGATGATGTTTTTCTACACCGGTTGTTACATGCATTCTATGTGTAGCTAAGAAGTGGATTTCATCTAACAAAACTTGTGATATGAGCCACGGATGGCTGCCGTTCCTGGTGTTGGAAGCGGTAGGGTGTGGTGGTGAAGGCAGAGGCAAGAGGCATTGGCTTGTTTGCTCCAAGACCATATGGCCTCAAAGCAAGCCCTGCTGTACCTGTGTGTTCAATGATAGAAAAGGTTGACAGGAAAACATGTTAAGTGTTCTGAAAATATTTGAGAAAGCATAATTTAAATACAAGATAGTGGTAATTATCATGATCACTTTGTATATCAGTTAAAAGTTTAGATTATTCATATTTGTAATATAAAATATATATAATACTGATTAATACAGAACTTTTAGTCATTAAATTAATAATATAAAAATCTATCCTGTCTTTATGGTTTTCATAAAAATTATGGTAAAGATTACAGTAAAATTACAGGAATAGATACTGCTTTATTTAATATATGTACTTGCCTTGGGATTTCCTTTTCCTTGAAAGAAAGAGAATCACCTAGAATCACAGTAGAACATTTGATTGGCACACATTCTAGAAATGAATTTGACTAAAACATCATTTAATCAGAAACCCAGTTCAACTCTTTTTTTCTTTTTCTCCAACTGCCCATTTTTTAATAAGAAAGAGGCAAATAAGCCACTCAGCAGAGAGCCAAATTCTGTTCATCTAAGATGAGAATTATCTGTGTTTTCCGCTATTGGTTTTGGTAACTATATTTATAAGTGAAGGAAAAATTAGGATGGTAGTAATCTTAAAGGATGAACATCCTAAGAGCTGAACATGATAGTAGTCTTGAAATTCAGAAGCTCCTTGTAAATATATGGTGGCCTTTGAGTAACACTCTACATCAGTTCCAAACTGTCAAAAGAACACTTCCAATTTTCTACAACTTTAATACCATCTTTGTGTTTCATGTTAAGTGTTATTTTCTTTTATACATTCTAATTTTCTTATCAATTTGTACTTTTTAAAATGTTCATCTGACCCCAATAACATTGGGAAGTCTGATACAGCCTGAAAGGTACGGCACTAACGTATGATCTCCCCAGTTCACATACTGGGTGTCGTAAGCTCCAGTGTAGATACTGAAACTGAGTGAAGCAGGCGGAGTGTGGGGTGGCGGGGGCTGTGGAGGACAGAGCAGCACGTGTGTTGGAAAGGGCAGCTGCTACAAGTTCAGCATGTGGTTGCCACGTGGGCCTGCTGCTTCTGTGTGGCTCTTTCTTTCCACTCTTGATGAAAAACCAGGAGTCTGGAATTGGGGGTGAAATTCTCAATTTTAGTATGGTAGTGGGCAGATGTTTGAAAAAATACCCTATGATCCTGGCAAAACATCCTGCAACAGGTAACTAGTTTGTAATCTATGTTAGTGGTAGACTAGGACCTAATATTTTATAATGGAATGTATTCAGACTGGATGGTTAGATGCAGATGATTAAACTCAGAAAAATTTCAACCTATAAATCAGTATTAGGTGTCTTTACTTGGAAAATTAGCATTATAGATTCCCCTTTTCCTTGCTGTTCAAACATCTTCTAAGGTTGATTGTTGTGTGTGTGTGTACATACATATTGACTTAGAAGTAATTATGATTAGGGGTACCTGGGTGGCACAGTCGGTTAAGTGATGGACTCTTGGTTTTGGCTCATGAAGTGATCTCAGGGTCGTGTGATCAAGCCCCATGTTGGGTCCTGCACCCAGCACAGAGTCAGCTTGAGATTTTCTTTCCCTGCCCCCCACCGCCTCTCCCCCTGCGCGCACTCGCTCTCTAAAATAAATAAATCTTAAAAAAAAAAGAGAAGGAATTATGATTGTACATTTAAAGTCTTAAATTAGAATATATTTATCTTTTTTTATTGCCAATTGCAGAATGTTTCCTATGGACTCAAAGCCTTCATTGTTGAACCCCCCTGGATCTATACTGGTCTCATCCCCAATAAAACCAAATCCACTGGACTTGCCACAGCTTCAGCACAGAGCTGCTGTTATCCCGCCAATGGTAAGTTTTCAAAGTGAGTAAGAGAAGTAAAGTTGAGAAACAAAGACGTTTAGAGACATCTCTTCTCTTCTTTAATCAGTACTTGAATTTTTAAAAAATTATGGTGAAAAACACACAACATAAAAATTTATCATCTTAACTGTTTTTAAGCTTATGGTTCAGTAGCGTTAAATATATTCATGTTGTTGTGAAATAGATCTCCAGAGCTTTTTCATCTTGCAGAAGTGAAATTCTCTTCCCATTAAACTGTAACTCTCTTTCCCCTCCCCCAGCTCCTGACAACCACCATTCTACTTTCTGTCTCTCTGAATTTGGCTAGATACCTCATATAAGTGGAATCATAGGGTATTTGTCTTTTTGTGACTGGCATGTTTCACTCAGCATAAAGTCCTCAAGGTGCATCCAGATTGTAGCACAGTCATAATCTCCTTCCTTTCTAAGACTGAGAATATCCCATTGTATGTATATTCCCACATTTTGTTCAGCTGTTCTGTCGCTCTGTTTGCTTTTTCAAATGGATTCATTGTGATGGTTGATTGAAATGGAGATTTCCATGGGGAGGGGAACAAAACAAAACACCAAAGGAAGTGTAATCCTCTAGCCATAAAATATTCGTAAGCTTTGTTTTTGTTTTGTTTTCCTGGAAGACAGTAGTTGAATATATAACTAGGTTTTGAATATTTAGAATGAATTCTAGAGATTATGGCTAACTTCAATATATCATTCCAAATCTAGTTTTATTTACATTTTACCTTAGTAATCTCTGCAGGTTTGACTCTCTTTTGACACTGAATTCCAACCTAGGTTATTGCTCCTTTACTTAGTAATGTTTTAGCTCTTGCTTTCTTCAGGGGATAAAAATTTGTTCTGTCTCACATGATAATTGATAAAAGTTAAGTGTGTGCTTATGATGGACTCACACACACAAAAAATCATTAAACATTTGTTCCTTCATTGATTTACTCAAATGGACTTTTATTAAGTGTCTGCCCAGTTCAAGACAACATTGTTAATGCTGTATGGAATATTTATATATCATAATCTCTGACTTCAAAAAACATAGAGATTGTTCTTGATAAAAAGACTTAGAAAAATATTATAATAAACTTAAAATGAATTATAAAAATGTGATGCTTTGTTAAAAAATGTAGTATGGTCATTTCAGAGGAAGGAGAGCTTCCTTCTTAATAAGACAACTAAAGAAGACTCCACATAGGAAATAATATTTTTTGGAACAAAACAGTTCATTTGGCTTTATGGCAACAGGAGGAAGAGCCATGTTTACATAAAAGCCAAAGCACGAGGGCAAGAAAATTATGTGTATGTTTTGGGCTCAGTGAAAAATTCTACTTACAGTAGCGGAAAAAAACTATGGAAGTCTTTATTTAGATAATAGGTTCTAAAAAACTCAGAGCTCTACTCTTTCCCAGAATTTTTTGTATTCATGAAGTAATGGACTGTGTTAGGGGCTGTTTATTTAGTATTGAACCAAATAGGTTGGGTTCTTTCCTTCCTGAGTGAGAGAGACAGAAAATAAACAAACAGAAAAACCAGCCCTATTATTGTGAATTGTGCTATTGTAAGCGTTGTGTACCCTGAAAGAAAGAAGCAGGGCTGCTGTAAGGAGGAAAATGGGAAGGGACGGTTAGGGATGGCCTGTCTGAAGACGGAACATTTTTAACACCCATCCTGTTGTGTGAGTTGGTTGTGGGAGGTAAGGCGGATCAGTCAAGGATGTCTGCCAGGTTTCTGGCTTAAGCTGTTAAGGTTCCGTTTCCTAAGAGGGAGGTCACTGAAGGAGAAGCATTGAATGTAGGAAATGAAGAGTTCCCGTTAAATGCAAGTTTTGGGGTGCTTTGAGATGCCCAAGTGGAGCTGTTAAGCAGCCATTCTGTGAGTATGGGACTTGGAGCAAACGTCTTAGAAATAGAAATTGAAGAGCCATTAACATGTAGATGACATTTAAATGCACAGAAGTGGGTGTGATTATCTAGAGAACCTAGAGAGGAGAGCTAGGAGCCAGGGCTGAGCCACCAGGGGTTTGACCATCTGCAAGTTAAAAGCAGACAGCAGTGTTTTAATTTCTGATTTTGATCTCTCTTATGTGATTTGTATTGTGTTCAGTTCTGAAAGTAAATGTTCAGCACTTTAAGCCTTTTGTAATTGAAGATTACTTTAACCAAAAAGTGGCAAAATCACATCAACCAGTACGTTACAGAAATAAGCATTATTTGTAACAGAGGGTCGTTGTTATGTTGGTCATTGGCGTATTTAGATTTTTTCTTCCTGTAGGTTTCCTGTACCCCATGTAATATACCGATTGGAACCCCAGTGAGCGGGTATGCCCTCTACCAGCGACACATTAAAGCAATGCATGAGTCCGCACTCCTTGAAGAACAGCGGCAGAGGCAAGAACAGATAGATCTGGAATGTAGAAGTTCTACAAGTCCCTGTGGCACCGCCAAGAGTCCAAACAGAGAGTGGGAAGGTAGGTAGAGCTGTCACCGCAAAGAACTTCTCTGAAGGGACACACAACTATACTCCAAAGTAGTGTCCTTTGTGCTTTGTAGTTTATCTGCATGTCAGGTGATTAATTCCTCTTGTCCCCAACACAAAATTCCTTTAAACTGACCTCAGTTAAACTTTTCAGGAATGTTACTATCATTGACTACTCACAGGCGGCAGTCACATTTGTAATGGTTTTTGTTAATACGAGTTTTCTGATATTTCTCTCTCTGCTGGAAGACTGTAAAAGCCATGCTTTCTGCTCCATTCATCTGACTTTTCAGAGTGAGAATTGTTACCCTGTCCTGCAAGCAGATCACATGTAACAACAGGGCAATACTCATTCTCTGATGTGATGGGAGACAGCTGGTGTAGAGTGTCAGTCGTACCCTGACGCAGCCCTCACCCCAGCCTTCACCACTTGTGTGGCCAGGGACAAGTCCCATAACTTTTCTGACTTTAGTTCTCTCATCTGTAAATTGCAAGTTATAGATTGATCCATCTATCTATCTGTCTGTCTGTCTGTCTGTATTTCTTTCTTACTGAGATTACAACCCATAAAAAAGAATCAGCATTTCAGTATCATTTTGTAACACATGGCTCAGCGTTATTCTTTACATAATATTATATGTAATACAGATACAATTTATAATAATAATGTACCAGCATATACATAGTAGAATAGATACCACAAAGGTACTGTTATCATTGTTATGTCACTGTTGTTATTTCAAGTGACAAATTCGAGTTGTACGTGCTCTTTTTTTTTTTAAGATTTTTTTTTTTTATTTTTAAGTAATCTCTACACCCAACATGGGGCTTGAACCCACAACCCTGAGATCAAGACTCCCACACTCCACCTACTGAGCCAGCCAGGCACCTCTATGCATGTTCTTTTTAGTTGTGCATGATACACTCAGTTTCTTTTAAAGGGGGGGGTGATTTCTAAATTGTAATAAATTCTTCTGGCATGGTTAGGAAATGGCACATGTGTTCTGGTTGAGGGTTGGCTGACTTATGCTACAATATGCTTAGAATATAAGACTATAAGGTCTTTGTTACAATGGTTTAGGTTTCTTGGTAATGATTCAAAAGACTTTGCAGAGGCTTAGATAAGTAAGAACAGTGAGCTGTAGAATGTCATGCATTTCAAGGGCTATTTAATATAAAATAGGAACTGTGGTACTTACGGATCTTGACCACCCTCCCCTCCCCCAGTTACGCCCAGTTATACCAGTGATGAGTTATTATATGACACACTGAACCTCTTGTGTTAGAGTTTTAAACATAAAATTGCTGGTGTTTTAAGTATAAATCTTACGCTAGTAAAGAATATGAACCAGAGTAGTAATACCCAGCAAGGCTGGGGGTATAATAGGTGCTAAATGAATAGTTCGTTCGTTCTTTCTTTTTTTTTTAAATTTTTTTGTTATGTTAATCACCATACATTACATCATTAGTTCTTTTTTTTTTTTTTAAGATTTTATTTATTTGTTTGTCAGAGAGAGAGAGCACAAACAGGGGGGGCGGCAGGTAGAGGAAAAGGCAGAGGGAGAAGCAGGCCTCCCCAAGCGGGGAGCCCAGTGTGGGACTCGATCCCAGGACCTCGGGATCATGACCTGAGCCGAAGGCAGATGCTCAACCGACTGAGCCACCCAGGCGTCCCAATGAATATTTCTTGAATGAAGGTAAAAACGTTGATGATTTGGGAGCTTTTAGTATTTAGTATTTAGAATCCTCAGTCGCTAACTCAGTAATTGACGCAGTTTGTGCTCAGTAATTACATGTTGAAGGAATGAGTTAAATGGAGTATAAATGGACTTAGAAGCACTTGTCTTTTGAGCAGTCCAATTATGAGAAAATCTGTCATGATGAGAATGATAAATTATAGAGTAATTTAAAAGTCTGTTGATGTGTTCCCTACATAAATGATTTAGAATAAATGTTGGGAGAATTAAAACCTAGAAAAAAATGACATTCAAATGGTATTTGCCAGAGTCATGCTAAAGCTGAACATTATTTAGTTAATAATATCTGGATCATTCTATAATATGCATATCACATTATTATTTTAGGACCTCAATATCTTTTTTTTAAGATTATTTATTTATTTATTATTTATTTTTATTTTATTATTTATATTTTATTTATTTTTATGTATTATATTTTTTATTTATTATTTTTATTAAGATTTTTTAAAGATTTTATTTATTTGACAGAGAGAGTTAGTGAGAGCAGGAACACAAGCAGGGGGATTGGGAGAGGGAGAAGCAGGCTTCCCGCCAAGCACGGAGCCCAATGCAGGGCTCAATCCCAGGACCCTAGGATCATGACCTGAGCCAAAGGCAGACACTTAACGACTGAGCCACCCAGGAGCCCCAAGGACCTCAGTATCTTTTCTTGATCTACCTTACGATCTTGATCTAAATTACAATGGAAGCTGTCTGAATCAGACTAGAGCCCAAATTCTGAGCCTCTAAAAAATGAACTACATTTCTCTGTGGTCAGTCACATTAATCCATGTGGTTTAGATGAGAGTGGTATCCTAATTTTAATCATAATGCAGTGGTTTTTTTTTTTTTTTTTTTAGATTTTTTATTTATTTATTTGACAC